GTTTATTCATTTCCCTTTCCCTGATCTTTTTTCCCTTTCTTTTTTTCCTTTTCCTTTTTTCTCCTCTTCCTTCCTCTCTTCCTTCTTTTTCCTTCCCCTTTTCTTCTTTTCTCCCTGTGTTTCCTTCTCGTTTTCCCTTTTCTCTTTCTCCACTTACATTTACCTCTCTTTATTCTCCACTCTCTTCCTTCTCTCTTTTCCCTTCTCCCCCTCTATCCCTTCTCCCCCTCTATCCCTTCTCCCCGTTTTCCCCCTTTATCCCTTCTCCCGTTATCCCTTCTTCCCCTTTATCCCTTCTGCCCCTTTATCCCTTCTGCCCCTCTATCCCTTCTCCCCCTTTTCCCTTCTTCCCCTTCTCCCCCTTCATCCCTTCTCCCCCTTCATCCTTTCTCCCCCTTCATTCCTCTCCCCCCCTCCAGGCATGTTCCAGCGCCTGGACAAGCTCCGGAAAAACGCCTTTGCCAGCGTCATCCTGTTCGGCACCAACAACGACAGCAGCATCTCGGGGGGTGTGGCTGTTCCGGGGGCAGGAGCTGGCATTCCCGGTGAGCCCCACACCGGGATCGGGATCGGGATCTGGGATTGCTGCGGCCTCCCTGGGGCTGAGCCGCCCTTTTCCTTCCAGCTCAGCCCGGACTGGCAGGTCGACTACGAGTCCTATTCCTGGCGGAAGCTGGATTCCGGAGAGCGAGGAATGCCGGACGCTGGTCAAGGAATACTTCACGTGGGAAGGGGAATTCCAGCACGTCGGGAAACCCCTTCAACCAGGGCAAGATCTTCAAGTGATTCCCCAACTGCTTCCCGGAAATAAAACCCGCGCCGGCCACGGTGCGGCACCACCGGCCCCTGCAGTGCTGCGGCAATGGGGGAGTGGGAATGGGAATGGGGGGGCATGCGGCCACAAAGGGGCGGGGGGGGTCAGGTACCCCAAAAGTGGGTCAGGAACCATAAAAGAGGGACAAAGTACCCCTAAAGTGGGGTCAAGCACCCGTAAGTGGGGTCAGGCACCCCTAAAGTGGGGGCAAGCACCCATAAGTGGGGTCAGGCACCCCTAAAGTGGGGTCAGGCACCCTAAAAGTGGGGTCAAGCACCCTAAAAGCAGGGGCAAGCACCCCTAAAGTGGGGTCATGCACCCTAAAGTGGGGTCAAGCCCCCTAAAGTGGGGTCAGGCACCCTAAAAGTGGGGGCAAGCACCCCTAAAGTGGGGTCAGGCACCCTAAAAGGAGGTCAAGCCCCCCTACAGTGGGGTCAGGCACCCAAAGTGGGGGGAAACGTGGAGGGGCTGCCAACACCTTTGGCACAGGGACAGGCACAGCCACGATGAGCCCTGGGGCTGAGCCTGCCGTTGGGCTGGGCCATGGGCCTGAGCCATGCTTGTGGGGCTGGGCCGTGGCTGTGGGGCTGAGCCATAGGCCTGGGCTGTGGCTGTGGGGCTGGGCCGTAGGGCTGGGCTGGGCCATGGGGCCGAGCCATGCTTGTGGGGTTGGGCTGTGGCTGTGGGGGGCAGAACAACCCCCCTCCGTGTTGTGACTAATCCCGGGGCTGGTGACTCACCCCACAACTGCCCCCCCCACACTCCCCGTGCTCTGCCCCACAGCTCCTGAGGGGCTCAGCCCCACATCTCGGCCCTGGGGCTGCTTATGGGGGGAGTGGGGGTGGCATTAATCCCTTCCATTCAGGACACACACACGGGGGGGGGGGGGGGGGGGGAGCACCCAGTTTTAAACCAGCAGCTCCCCCCCCCCCCCCCCCCCCGAACCCTCCCTGGTTCCTTCCTGGTGCGGGCGGGGCCGCGTGACCGCTGCCAGATCCAGATGTGGCCGGACCCACGCGCTCGAGGGCGGGGCCGGCGCCTCCCCCCGGCCACATCTGGATCCAGTTTGGCTCTTGCTCAATGCGGCCGCGCCCGCCTGAGTCACCGGGCCCCGGCCCCGGGCAGCGACCGGGGCCGTGCAGGCAGCTCCTGGTCCTATGCAGGCAGTGAAGTGCAGGCAGCAACCGGCCCCATTGCCTGCAAGGGACCAGCTCTGCCTGTGCAGGCAGCACCCGGGGGTGGGCAGGAAACACTCAGCCTGGTACAGGCAGCTTCTGGTCCCATGCAGGCAGCACCCAGCTCGGTTCAAGCAGCTCCTGGTCCTATGCAGGCAGTGAAGTGCAGGCAGCGACCGGCCCCATTGCCTGCAAGGGACCAGCTCTGCCTGTGCAGGCAGCACCCGGGGGTGGGCAGGAAACACTCAGCCTGGTACAGGCAGCTTCTGGTCCCATGCAGGCAGCACCCAGCTCGGTACAAGCAGCTTCTGGTTCTTTTCAGGCAGCACCCAGCTCGGTTCAAGCAGCTTCTGGTCCCATGCAGGCAGCACCCAGCTCGGTGCATGGAGCACCCAGGGGTGGGCAGGAAACACCCAGGCTGGTACAAGCAGCTTCTGGTCCCATGCAGGCAGCACCCAAGGGTGTGCCCAGGGCCATGCAGGCAGCACCCAGCCCTGTGTAGGCAGTTCCTGGTTCCATGCAGGCAGCCCCAGCTCCATGCAGGCAGCACCCAGGACCGTGCAGGCAGCACCCAAGGGTGGGCATCACGCAGGTCAGTACAGGCAGCACCCAAGGGTGGGCAGCACCCAGCTCAGTGCAGGCAGCACCTAAGGGTGGGCATCACGCAGGTCAGTGCAGGCAGCACCCAAGGGTGGGCAGCACCCAGCTCAGTGCAGGCAGCACCCAAGGGTGAGCAGCACCAGCTCAGTGCAGGCAGCACCCAAGGGGTGGGCATCACGCAGGTCAGTGCAGGCAGCATCTAAGGGTGGGCATCACGCAGGTCAGTGCAGGCAGCACCCAAGGGTGAGCAGCACCCAGCTCAGTGCAGGCAGCACTCGGTCCCACACAGGCAGCTCCATGCAGGGAGCACCCAAGGCCTTGCAGGCAGCTTCTGATCCCTTGCAGGAAGCACCCAGCTCGGTGCAGGCTGTGCCCAGGGCCATGCAGGCAGCACCCAAGGGTGGGCAGCACCCAGGCCTGTGCAGGCAACGCCCGGCTCAGTGCAGGCAGGTCCTGGCCCCATGCAGGCAGCGCCCAGGGGCAGGCAGCGCTAGGACCATGCAGGCAGCCCCTGCCCGTGCTTCCAGCCCCACACTTGTGGGTCAGAGCCCCAGTTCCCGCTGCCGGTGCTGCCGCTCCCTGCCCGCTCCCCCCTGCCCCGGCCCCTTCGGCCGCCCGTGACCCCGCTGCCAAATTCCTGCCTGTTTACTGGCAGCGGGAGCAGCGGCGCGGCCAGAGCGGGGGAGGCGGGAACGGCAACGGGAGTGGGAATGGGAACGGGGACAGGAATAGGAATGGGAGTGGAAACTGCAACGGGAATGGGAACAGCAACAAGGATAGGAATGGGAATGGAACGGCAACGGGAATGGGAAGAGCAACAAGGACAGGACTGGGGATGGGAACGGCAACGGGAATGGGAAGAGCAACAAGGACAGGAATGGGGATGGGAACGGCAACAGGAACAGGAATGGGGATAGGAACAGCAATGGGAATAGGAATGAGAACAGCAACAAGAACAGGAACAGGGATGGGAACGGCAACAGGAACAGGAATAGGAATAGGAACAGCAACAGGAATGGGAATGGGAATAGGAATGGGAACAGCAATGGGAACAGGAACAGGAGTGGGAATAGGAACAGCAACGGGAGTAGGAATAGGAACAGCAACAAGAACAGGAACGGGGATGGGAACGGCAACAGGAACAGGAATGGGAATAGGAATGGGAATGGGAACGGGAACAGCAATGGGAATAGGAATGGGAACGGCTATGGGAATAGGAATAGGAACAGCTATGGGAATAGGAATGGGAACAGCAACAAGAACAGGAACGGGGATGGGAACAGCACTGGGAACAGGAACAGGAATGGGAACAGCAACAAGAACAGGAACGGGAACAGCAACAGGAACGGCAATGGGGACAGGAATGGGAATGGCAGCGGCTGGGTGCAGGCAGGGCCATGGTGACTCCCAAGGGACAGGCAGGGCCACGGCAATTCCCGGTCACGGGCAGGGCCGTGGTGATTCCCAAGGGACAGGCAGGGATCCTCTGGGATCCAGGATCCCAGTGATAGCACTGGGGGGGGGGTCGGGGGCTGCACTGACACCCCCTAATCCCGCCCCCCCCCCCCCCAGCTCCGGGCCCGGAGCACCGGGAAGCGCCGCCGTCCCATCCCAATCCCGTCTCTTGGCACCCGGCGCCGCGGCAGCTCCAGCCGGAATCCCAAACATCCCCCGCGCCGGAGCGGGAGGGGGGGGAGGCACGGCCCATCCCATCCCCATCCCCCCCCCCATTCCCGAGATTGGGGGGTTCGGGGGGGGGGGGTTATCCAAGAGGATGTTCCGGTTGGAACAACGTCCAGAGGGAATGCGGGAGCTGGAACTGGGGGGCACCCCTATAAAGGGGGAGGATCCAGGAGGATTTGAGGGGTTGTGGATGAGGAAGGTGCTGAAGTGGGGAGGAAGAACCGCAGGGACCAGTATAAACTGGGATCAAACTGGGAAGGGTCCCATGGAAGGGCTGGGGGGGGGGGGGGGGAGGGACATGGAGGAAGTAAAGGAACGATCCAGGAGGATCTCAAGGGGGGGGTGGTGTCAGGGAATGGGAGAAGGAGACTGGGACATACTGGGATGTACTGGGATATACTGGGAACAACCAATGGGAAGAGAGGGGGGGGGGGACACCGTGGGGGGTCCTGTCTCACCTCCCTCACGCTGGTGGGTCCTAAGGGGGGGGGGGAGGGTTTGGGGCTCACCTAGGGAGGGGGGTCCTGGCGGTGACGTCATTGGGGGTTCCTGGGGTTACCCGGGGGGCGTCCCCTCCATGGGGGGGGATCTTGGGGTTTATCTCGGGGGCGTTGGTTTGGGGTGAAAGGGGAGGGGGAGGGACCTGGGGGATCCCCAAAGCCCCGGGGGGGGGGGGGGGGGTCCCGTTCCGAACCTGACAGCGCCTTATGGGGGGGGGGGGGGGGGGGGGCGGGCGCGGTTCCCGTTCCGGTCCCATCGCGGGTCCCCCCGTTGTGGCACCGGGCCGGGCCCGTCCCGGGGCGGCGGCGCGGGGCTGGTCCCTCCCCGGGGGGGGCGGGGGAGGCTCCGCCGCTCCCGTTACAAGAGCCCGGCCCCGCTCCGGGCGCGGCCACTCGCCGCGATCCCGCCGCCCCGCTCGGATCGGCCGGGACCGGGATCGGGACCGGGACAAACACCGGGACCCGCCGCCAGGAATCCGGGAGCGGGAGGGGCCGGCACCGGGCATGGCCCTGCCGGGGAGCTGAGCGCAGGTACCGGCACCGGGAGGGGGGCGAACCGGGGCCGGGGGGGGGGGGGTGGTGGTTCCGGAGGCGCTGCGAGAGTTACGGGGGGGGTTGTCCCGGTGGGGGAGTCTCCGGTTGTCCCGGGACTATCCCATGGGTGCGGGGGGGGGGGTGGTCCCGGTATTCCGGCGCTGTCCCGGGAGTTAAAGGGAGGGGGTCCCGGTTGTTCGAGGGTCCCGTTTCGGGGGGCTCCGATGGTTCCGGGTGTCCCCGGGAGGAGGGGGGGGGGGGGGCGGTCTGGGGGACTGTCCCGGTTATGGGGGAGGGGGTGGTCCCGGGACTGTCCCATGCGTGCCCCGGGGGGGTCAGGGGGGTCCGGCCGCGCCCCGAGGCCCCGGTGTCGGGCGCGCTCAGGGCGTGGCCCCCCCCCCTCCCCCGTTTCCCCCCCCCCCCCCCTCCTCGGTCCCGGCCTGGCCGCCGCGCCCGGGGAGTCCCCGCTCGGGGCGGGGCAGCGGAGATTCCCCCCCTTCCCCCCCCCCCCCAGCGCCTCCGGCCCCGCCCGAGGTCGGGGGGACCCCCCCGGGGGGATCCCGATACCGGATGGGGGGGGGGGGGGTCTCTGGGGGTTAAATCCGTGTTGGGGTGAACTTGACCCCCCCCACTCCTTGCACCCAATGGGGTTTGGGGTGCGGCCGGTGCCTGCGCGCCATTTTGGACCCCCCACACCCATTGGGAACCCAGAATCCATGGGGACACCCCCATCGCTGTGGGGACCCCCCCATCTATGGGGTAACCCCCTCCCAACCCTTAGGAACCCTCTCAATCCATAGGGACTTCCCTAATCCATAGGAACTTCCCGTTCTCCATGGGCCCCCCATCACCCACAGGGACCCCCCCCAGCTCCATGAGAATCCCTTAGCCCATAAGGACCCCCCTGCCTCTATGGGGCTTCCCCCAACCCATAGCACCCCCCATCTTCATGAGGCTCCCCCCTGCCTATAGGGAACCCCATCTCCATGCCCCACCACCACCCATGGAGATCCCCCCCCATCCCAGCACCCCCTGGAGCAGGTCCCACTGCAGCGGGTGCCCCCCGGAAGGTGCTGCCGCCCCATGAACCCCCAAATCAACCCCTAGAGAGGGGGGTGATGGGCTCCGAGCACCCCCCCAAACAACACCCCAAAACCCAGCTCTTGGAGGTGCACGTGGCGCTTCGGGAATGGGTTCGCGATTGGGAAGAGGCGCCCAGCACCCTAATGGGCACCCAATGGACACCCCAATGAACACCCAATGAACACCCCAACGCCCGACGCCGTCCCTGGCCGCCGGCGGACGCCCCGGCAGCCGGTGGAACCGGTCCGGGAGCAGCCGCGGTGGCGGGATCGGGATCGTTCCCGTCCCCCTCCCGCCCGCGGGACTCTCGCTCCGGAGCCGGTTGGACCGGTACGAGGCCGCGGGGGCCGTCGGGGCCGCTCCTCGCTCCCCGCCGCCCGCTTGGGAGCCCTTTTCCCACCCCCTTCGCTTTTTTTTTCCCGGTGTTTTCCAACGCTTCCCGGCCGTTTTTCCCCCCTTTTTCCCTGGGAGGATCCCGATCCCGATCCGGCCCCGCGCGTTCTTCCCCTGCGCGCACCCTCGGGTGCCCCCGACACCGCCGCCCTTTAGCACCCCATAGACAACACTTTGGGGGTGACCAAGCCCTGTCCGTGCACACCGCCCCCCCCCCCCCCTTCATTAACCCCACTCGTTAATTAGCGCCTGCCCACGAGCAACGCCCTTGGCCCGGCCCCAATGGGGGGTGGGGGGTGTTTGGGGTGCTGGGGGGGGGGGGGGGGAACATGTGTGGACCCCCAAGGTTTGGGGCTTTGTGGTTGTTTTGGGGCTGGGACCCCCCCCACCCCAGCTTGGTTTGGGGGGGTCCCTGCCCTTCTTGGGGGCACTTAGGTCAGCATGGGGCTGTTTTGGAGGGGGGTTGATGCCATTTGGGGGGGGTGACACCGTTTGGGGTGACACCATTGCGGGGGAGTTTGATGCCGTTTGTGGGGGGGGTGATACCGTTTGGATTTAACACCGTTTTGGGGGGGTTGATGCAGTTTGGGGGTGACACCGCTGTTGGTTGACACCATTGGGGGTGGTTGATGGCGTTGGGGGGGATCGATGCTATTTGGGGGGGTGACACTGTTTTGGGGTGATTGATGCCGTCTGGGGGGGTGACACCGTTTTGGGGGTGGTTGGTGCCGTTTGGGGGTGACGCCGCTGTCGGTTGACATCAGTGTGTGGGGGTCGATGCTATTTGGGGGGGTGCCACCGTTTTGGGGTGGTTGATACCGTTTGGGGGGGTGACACCGTTGCTGGGTGCCACCATTGGTGTCCCCACTGACAGGAGCGGAGCCGGACGATACCAACGGGGGTCCCCGTGGGGGGGGGGGGGGGGGTGTCCTCCCCGATGCCCTTTTTGGCTGTCCAAGAGCTTCATCCCTTTTGTGGCCCCGGCACAAACACCCCGTGGGGAAGGGGGGGTCCCGGTGGGGGGGCTCCAGCACCGGCCTCATCCCCCGGTGCACAGAACCCGGGTGTCCGGTGGGGCCGGGGGGGGGGGGGGTCCTTGGTCTTGTTTGTCACCGGCCGCTTGGTGTCACCTCCTCCCGTTGTGGTTTCGAGGGGGGGTTAAAGGAAGGGGGGGGGGGAAGGACTAAAAATAGGGGGGGCAGCACGTGGCTCCCCCCAAAATAGCCCCGGGGCCGTGGCGAAGGTGAACCCTGAGCCTTGGGATGGGGGACACGGCGGGGGGGGGGGGGGACACGGGATGTTCCAAACGTCCTGGGGGGGGGGGGAAGGGGGGGGTTGTGGTTGGGGGGGGGGGGGGGGGAGGGAAGCCCCGGGGCCGGGTGGAGAGCTCTGAGTCACAGTCACCCCCCCCCCCGCCCTGCTCCTGACTCACAAACTGGTTTGTCCTCCCGCTATGGAGCGTTCCCAGACGGATCCGGATCCGTGGCTGCGGTGATGGGGTTGTGGGGGGGGACGGGACACACACGATGTGGGATGGGACCCACCCCCCCCCCCCCTCCAAGGTCACCTCATCCAGCCCCCGGCTCCATTGGGGCCACCCAATTCTTCCCTTGGGACCACACGTCCCGGATGGAGATGCCGCCGCCAGCACCCTCATGGGGTCAAGGTGCTTCCTAATGGGATCCTCCTGCACCCATCAGTGCCTGGGGTGGTTCCTCCCCATGGAGCAGGTCCAGCCCAGAGCACCCAGCAGCAAGGGCACGCTGGGGGCTCAACTCTGTGGCCATCAGGACCACCAGGGCCTTTGCTCCAGCTCTTGGTGCATGGGGTTGGGGGGGGCACATCCAGGTTCTTCTTGGTGGCTACACCACGAGGTTCCTCTCAGCCCCCTCTGGCGTTACCGGATGCTCCCAGTTTGGTGCCATCGGCAAACTGGAGCTCCCATCATCCAGGTGGTTAAAACCCTCCCAGTTGCCACCAGTGTCCTCCGGCTGCTCCAAGAGGTGGTGGAGTCTCCATCCTTGGAGATACCCGCATCCTTCAGGACCATCCCCCATGGACCGGATCGTCCCGTCCCACCTCAACCAGCCCCTGCTCGCTGTGGGGTTTCTCTGGGGCTCCATGGTTGGACAAGGCCCTGAAGGGCAATGCCTCCATTGAGCTCTCCATGCTGGGGAGCCTGGTGTCCTCACTGGTTTGGTCCTTCTGAACCTCCCAGATCATCCATGTATGGATGAGCTCTATGGGGTTGCATGCTTGACCCATGTCCTGATGTGGAATGAGCTGCTCTGAGGTTTAGATCCATGGCTGGTACCTGTAGGAAAGGCACCTCCAGCAGCCAGCCAGGCCTTTGGGTTGGGTCAACCCTTGGCCATGGTGGCTCTTCTGCATCTTCTTGCTGCTTGTCCCATTGACCACCACCACCCAACGGGGTGGCCGGGCCGCGCTTTGGCTCCCATCTGGGTGCTCAAGGAAGGGAGGAAGAGGCGACGGGAGCAAGGCTGGAGCTTCACGGGGACCTCTCCAATGTCTCCTCCAGGCTGGGAAGGTGACGCAGGAGCTGCCACAAGGTCCACAAGCAAAGGCCGAGGGATTCCTGGGGCGGATCCAGCCGGGAGCAGCATCCCAGCAAGGTCAGTGGGGCTTCAAGCCCCACATCCATCTCCTCCATCCCCCCAGGCCAGGCTGGGTGTGGGTCTGGGTTTGGTTGGCGCTCATTGCAGCAGGGGTTGGACTTGGAGCCCTTGGAAGATCCCTTCCAGCACCACCCATTCCCTGACCCTTCCCTTCTCCCGTCGCCAGATGGAGAAGGAGGAGGAGATGCGGGAGATCCTGCTCCCCAACTGGCAGGGCAGCGGCTCCCATGGCATCACCATCGACCAGACCGATGACGGGGTCTTCATCAAGCGGGTGCAGCAGAACTCGCCGGCCGCCAGGATGGGCGTCGTGAGGGAAGGTGGGACCCGGGCTGGGCCCTTTGGGGGGGGGGGGGGGGAGGGTGAGAACCTGCCCTTTGTGCTGTTCCCACCCCTTCCTTGGACCCAAACCCCATTTCCCACCCTCTTCTTTGTCCATCACCCCATTTCCCACCTCCTTCCTTCATAACCCATTTCTCACCTTCCCCTTTGTCCATCACCCATTTCCCTCCTCCTTGGTCCATGACCCATTCTCCCCCCCCCCCCCCCTTGCTCCGTCACCCCAATTCCCAGCCCCTCCTTGTTCCATCACCCCATTTCCCACCCCCTCCCCTCTCTCCATCACCCCATTTCCCTCCTCCTTGGTCCATGACCCATTTCCCCCCCTCCCCCCCCTTGCTCCATCACCCCATTTCCCTCCCCCTCCTCTCTCCATCACCCCATTTCCCACCCCTTCCTCTCTCCATCACCCCATTTCCCACCCCCTCCTCTCTCCATCACCCCATTTGCCACCCCTCCTTGGACCCAAACCCCATTTCCCACCCCCTCCTCCCTCCATCACCCCATTTCCCACCCCCTCCTCTCTCCATCACCCCATTTGCCACCCCTCCTTGGACCCAAACCCCATTTCCCACCCCCTCCTCCCTCCATCACCCCATTTCCCTCCCCTCCTCTCTCCATCACCCCATTTCCACCCCCCCTTCACCCCATTTCCCACCTCCTTCTTGGACCCAAACCCCATTTCCCACCCCCTCCTCTCTCCATCACCCCATTTCCCACCCCCTCCTCTCTCCATCACCCTGTCTCCCACCCCCTCCTCTCTCCATCACCCCATTTCCCACCCCCTCCTCTCTCCATCACCCCATTTCCCACCCCCTCCTCTCTCCATCACCCCATTTCCCACCCCCTCCTTTGACCCAAACCCCATTTCCCACCCCCTCCTCTCTCCATCACCCCATTTCCCACCCCCTCCTTGGACCCAAACCCCATTTCCCACCCCCTCCTCTCTCCATCACCCCATTTCCCACCCCCTCCTCTCTCCATCACCCCATTTCCCACCCCCTCCTCTCTCCATCACCCCATTTCCCACCCCCTCCTTGGACCCAAACCCCATTTCCCACCCCCTCCTCGCTCCATCACCCCATTTCCCACCCCCTCCTCGCTCCATCACCCCATTTCCCACCCCCTCCTCGCTCCATCACCCCATAGCTCAATCACGGTCGCTCCCCACCTCCCTGACCCCTCTCCCTCTGCTCGCCCCACGCAGGGGACCAGATCGTGAGCGCCACGGTCTACTTTGACAACCTGCAGTCGGGGGAGGTGGCCCAGCTCCTCACCACCATGGGGCACCACACGGTGGGCTTGCGCCTGCAGCGCCGAGGGGACAAGTCCCCAGGGCCGGGACAGACTTGGCCCCACGACGTGTTCATGGGGGGCAGCAGCCCTGAGGTTGTGCTGGTGAGTGATGGGTGATGGGGCTGGGAGGAGGAGGAGGAAGAGGAAGAGTCGTGGTGCTGATGAAGGTCTCTTGGCTTCCAGAGTGGAGATGATGAGGAATACAGGAGGATCTACACCACGAAGATCAAGCCGCGGCTCAAGTCGGAGGAGGTGCTGGAGGTGGAAGGTGCTGGGGTGCAGAGCAGCACCATCACCGTCACCAAGAGGATGACAGCCTACACCGTCGATGTCACCCGCCACGACGGGGCCAAAGGCGTCGACGTCGTCGGAACAGACTTCAAGGTCCGCATCCCGACCCAGGAGCTCAGCCATGGCATGGAAACCAACGTTGATCCAGGGAAAGTCATCATGGATGCTCCAGGCCCGGCGGCCGGACCTTGTGCCCCAAAACTGGGAAAAGCCGGGATAACGGTGTCGGGATCGATGGATGCTCCCGGTGGGGAAACTGGAAGCCCTATTGTGGTGGAGGTGCCGGGATACGACGGCTCCGGCTCGCTGTCGGTGGGGTCCCCGGGCGGCTCCATCCCCATTGGACAAACGGGATCCCTGGATGCGGGTTTCCACGTCAAGGGGCCCCGGCTGGATGGGAAAGGCCCCGGTTCCAGCGTGGATGCTCAAGGGGAGCTGCCGGGGGGGAAGCTCTCAAACGCTGCTGCTGCCCCTTGTGTGCAGGGGGGGATCCAAGCTCCCGGTGTGGAAGTTTCCTTCCCAGCCATGGAAAGCCCAGCTCTGGATGTGGGAAAAATCCAGATTCCTGTGTTGAAAACGCCCAAATTCGGGTTCCCGGTCTTGGGCTCCGATGCTCCGGCACCACCGGCTCCATTCATGGACGTCCCCTCCTCATCCATCCAAGTCACAGGACCTGAAATCCCAGCTCCCTCCGTTGAAATCCCAGCTCCCTCCATTGAAATCCCATCCCCGCAGGTGGATGTGGGGCTGAAGGGAGCAGTGAAAGGCCCCGGTGTGGAGCTCCCAGCAGCCCATGTGGACATTCCCGGTGCCAAAGGGAAGCTCCGGATGCCAACCGTGAGCCTTCCCAAAGGTGCCGCTGTGGAAGCGGCGCTCCCGACAGTGGGACCGGCGGCACCTGAGGCCGATGTCGGCATTCCTGACGCAGCCATGGAAGGGGAATGGAAAGGCCCCAAGTTCAAGAAGGTGGAAACTCCTCAGATCTCCCTCTCGGATGTGAACCTGCAGCTGAAAGGCCCCCACGCAAAGGGCGATGCCGGTGTCACCGTGCCCAGGGTGGAAGGAGAAGTCAAAGGACTCGGCCCCAAGGGTCTCAAGGTGGACGTGAAGGCTCCTGGTGTTGAGTTTGAAAGCCCAGAGGGGCTCCTGAAAGGCCCTGGTGTATCCGCACCAGAGCTGGACCTCCATGGGAAGGGCCCTAAGCTCAAAGGAGACCTGGATGTTGCTGTCTCAAAGCTGGGTGCTGACTTGAAAGGACCCCAGCTCGACATCGGCGGCCCCAAGGTGGGAATGGCCATTCCTGATGTCAACGTTAAAGGCCCCAAAGTCACGATGCCGGAGGTGCACGTGAAGACCCCCCATATCTCCATGCCTGACATCGACCTGAACCTGAAAGGGCCCAAAGTGAAGGGAGACCTCGATGTTTCTGCCCCTAAACTGGAAGGGGAGCTCAAAGCCCCTGGGCTCGACATCAAAGGCCCCAAGGTTGACATTGAAGCCCCAGATGTGGACATTCATGGCCCTGAAGGCAAACTGAAGATGCCCAAGCTGAAGATGCCCAAGTTTGGGGTGAAGGGAGAGGTCCCCGATGTGGCTGTGACCCTTCCCAAGGGCGAGGTGGACGTCTCTGGTCCCAGGGTTGACATTGATGTGCCCAATGTGGACATCAAAGGGATAGAAGGAAAACTGAAGGGCCCCGAGGTGAAGATGCCCGAGATGCTCATCACAGCCCCAAAGGTCTCGGTGCCAGACGTTGACCTGAACCTGAAGGGCCCCAAGGTGAAGGGTGGTGTGGAGGTTTCCATCCCCACAGTAGGAGCTGATCTGAAGGGTCCAGAACTAGAGCTCAAGGGCCCCAAGGTTGACATTGAAGCCCCCGATGTGGACATTCATGGTCCTGAAGGCAAACTGAAGATGCCCAAGCTGAAGATGCCCAAGTTTGGGGTGAAGGGAGAGGCCCCCGATGTCGATGTGATGCTCCCAAAGGGTAAAGTGGAGATCTCTGGCCCTGGCGTTGATGTTGACGTGCCCAGTGTGGACATCAAAGGGCCAGAAGGGAAACTGAAAGGCCCCAAGGTGAAGATGCCGGACGTGAGCTTCAAGACCCCCCAGATCTCCATGCCTGACATCGACCTGAACCTGAAAGGGCCCAAAGTGAAGGGAGACCTCGATGTTTCTGCCCCTAAACTGGAAGGGGAGCTCAAAGCCCCTGGGCTTGACATCAAAGGCCCCAAGGTTGACATTGAAGCCCCAGATGTGGACATTCATGGTCCTGAAGGCAAACTGAAGATGCCCAAGCTGAAGATGCCCAAGTTTGGGGTGAAGGGAGAGGTCCCCGATGTGGCTGTGACCCTTCCCAAGGGAGAGGTGGACGTCTCTGGTCCCAGGGTTGACATTGATGTGCCCAATGTGGGCATCAAAGGGCTAGAAGGGAAAGGTCTCACACTGAAAATGCCCGAACTGAACATCCAGACCCCCAAACTGTCCACGCCAGATGTAGATCTCAGCTTGAAAGGCCCCAAAATAGACATGGAAGGTCCCAGAGTGGATGTTGAGATGCCCGAGGTGGACTTGGAATGTCCAGAAGGGAAAATAAAAGGCCCCAAATTCAAGATGCCCAAGCTCAATATCAAGACGCCGAAGATCTCGATGCCTGATGTGGATTTGAACTTGAAGGGGCACAAAGTGAAAGGAGAGGTGGACGTTTCTCTTCCAAAGGTAGAAGGTGACTTGAAAGAACCTGGTGTTACCATCAAGGGGCCCAAAGTAGATGTGGAGGTGCCAGATGTCAACCTGGAAGGTCCAGAAGCCAAACTGAAGATGCCCAAAATGAAACTGCCTCAATTCCATGTGTCTGGTCCGAAGATTGAGGGACCTGATGTGGACATCAATGTGCCAAAAGGAGAGATAGAAGTTTCGGGACCAGAGGTAGATCTTGAAGGGACAGAGCTGGATGTTGGAGGAGCAGAAGGGAAATGGAAAGGCCCCAAGTTCAGGATGCCGAAGCTGAATATCAAGACCCCCAAAATCTCCATGCCCGACGTAGATTTGAACCTGAAGGGACCGAAGGTGAAAGGAGAGATGGATGTCGCAGCTCCGAAGCTAGAAGGTGAATTGAAAGGTCCAGACGTAGACATCAAGGGGCCGAAAGTCGATGTTGAGGCACCCAACATTGATCTCGAGTGTCCTGAGGGGAAGCTGAAGGGCCCCAAGTTCAAGATGCCCGAGATGCACATCAAGGCTCCCAAGATCGCCATGCCTGACGTTGACTTCAACCTGAAAGGACCCAGCATGAAAGGGGACATCGAAGTCTCAGCTCCCAAGCTTGAAGGTGACCTGAAGGCTCCCGACGTGGACATCAAGGGCCCCAAAGTGCACATTGAGGCCCCAGACGTGAACATTCAAGGCCCAGAAGGGAAGTTCAAGATGCCCAAGTTCAAGATGCCCAAGTTCGGGATGCCGGGGTTCAAAGCGGAAGGTCCAGAGGTGGACGTGAACCTGCCAAAAGGAGATGTTGATGTTTCTGGCCCAAAGGTAGATATTGAGATGCCAAGTGTGGACATTGAAGGTCCAGAGGGGAAGCTGAAAGGGCCCAAGTTCAAGATGCCCGAGATGCACATCAAGGCTCCCAAGATCTCCATGCCTGACATTGACTTGAACCTGAAAGGTCCCAAAGTGAAGGGAGATGTGGACATGTCACTACCCAAGGTAGAAGGTGAATTGAAAGGCCCAGAAATAGACATCCAAGGTCCCAAAGTTGATGTTGACCTTCCTGATGTTGAACTGGAAGGTCCCGAGGGGAAGCTGAAAGGTCCTAAGTTCAAGATGCCCGAGATGCACATCAAGGCTCCCAAGTTCTCCATGCCCGATGTTGACTTCAATCTGAAGGGGCCCAAAGTCAAGGGTGATGTGGATGTGTCTGTTCCAAAGCTCGAGGGTGACCTAAAATGTCCCGATGTTGACATCAAGGGCCCCAAAGTGGACATTGAGGCCCCAGATGTGAACATTCAAGGCCCAGAAGGAAAGTTCAAGATGCCCAAGTTCAAGATGCCCAAGTTCGGGATGCCGGGATTCAAAGCGGAAGGTCCAGAGGTGGATGTGAACCTGCCCACAGGAAGCCTGGATATTTCTGCTCCAAAGGTGGACATTGAGGGTCCAGATGTGGACATTGAAGGTCCCGAGGGGAAAGTAAAAGGCCCCAAGTTCAAGATGCCCGAGATGCACATCAAGGCTCCCAAGATCTCCATGCCTGACATTGACCTGAACCTGAAGGGCCCCAAAGTGAAGGGAGATGTGGACGTGTCTCTACCCAAGGTAGAAGGTGAATTGAAAGGCCCAGAATTGGATATCAAAGGTCCCAAAGTCGATGTTGACCTTCCTGATGTAGAGCTGGAAGGCCCCGAGGGGAAACTGAAAGGCCCCAAGTTCAAGATGCCCGAGATGCACATCAAGGCTCCCAAAATCTCCATGCCTGATGTTGACTTCAATCTGAAGGGGCCCAAGCTAAAGGGAGATGTGGATGTGTCTGTCCCAAAGCTCGAGGGTGACCTGAAGGCTCCTGATGTGGACATCAAAGGCCCCAAAGTGGACATTGAGGCCCCAGACGTGAACATCCATGGGCCAGAAGGAAAGTTCAAGATGCCCAAGTTCAAGATGCCCAAGTTCGGGATGCCAGGATTCAAAGCAGAAGGTCCAGAGGTGGATGTGAACCTGCCCACAGGAAGCCTGGATGTTTCTGCTCCAAAGGTGGACCTTGAATGTCCAGAGGTGGACATTGAAGGTCCGGAAGGGAAACTGAAAGGCCCCAAGTTCAAGATGCCCGAGATGCACATCAAGGCTCCCAAGATCTCCATGCCTGACATTGACTTGAACCTGAAGGGCCCCAAAGTGAAGGGAGATGTGGATGTGTCTCTTCCAAAGCTCGAAGGTGACCTGAAGGCTCCTGATATTGACATCAAAGGCCCCAAAGTGGACATTGAGGGTCCCGATGTCAATGTTCATGGCCCAGAAGGAAAGTTCAAGATGCCCAAGTTCAAGATGCCCAAGTTCGGGATGCCGGGACTCAAAGCGGAAGGTCCAGAGGTGGACGTGAACCTGCCAAAAGGAGATGTTGATGTTTCTGGCCCAAAGGTAGATATTGAGATGCCAAGTGTGGACATTGAAGGTCCAGAGGGGAAGCTGAAAGGGCCCAAGTTCAAGATGCCCGAGATGCACATCAAGGCTCCCAAGATCTCCATGCCTGATATTGACTTGAACCTGAAGGGCCCCAAGGTGAAGGGTGGTGCTGATGTTTCTGTACCACAACTTGAAGGTGAATTGAAGGGACCTGATGTGAATATTAAAGGTCCGAAGTTGGATGTGGATGTTCCTGATCTTGATATTGAAGGTCCTGAGGGAAAATGGAAAGGGCCCAAGATAAAGATGCCCGAGATGCACGTCAAGGCTCCCAAATTCTCAATGCCTGATGTGGACCTCAACTTGAAAGGTCCCAAAGTGAAGGGTGAACTGGATGTTTCTGCTCCCAAAATTGAGGGGGACATCAAAGGGCCAGATCTGGAACTTAAGGGGCCCCAAGTGGACATAGATGTGCCTGACCTTGATATTGAGTGTCCCGAGGGGAAGCTGAAGGGTCCCAAGTTCAAGATGCCCGAGATGCACATTAAGGCTCCCAAGATCTCGATGCCGGACTTTGACCTGAACCTGAAAGGTCCCAAAGTGAAGGGGGACGTGGACGTGTCCGTGCCAAAGCTGGAGGGTGATTTGCAAGGTCCAGATATTGACATCAAAGGCCCTAAACTGGATGTGAATGTTCCTGACATTGACCTCGAGTGTCCAGAAGCAAAAATTAAAGGCCCCAAGTTCAAGATGCCCGAGATGCACTTCAAGACCCCCAAGATCTCCATGCCTGACATCGACCTCAACCTCAAAGGTCCCAAGCTAAAGGGAGACCTGGATGTTTCTGCCCCCAAACTGGAGGGTGACTTGAAAGGCCCCGATGTGGATATCAAAGGACCCAAAGTGGACATAGAAGCGCCTGATGTGGATATTGAGGTCCCAGAGGGGAAGCTGAAGGGTCCCAAGTTCAAGATGCCAGAGATGCATTTCAAAGCCCCCAAGATTTCAATGCCAGACTTTGACCTGAACCTGAAAGGTCCCAGAGTGAAGGGGGACGTGGACGTGTCTGTGCCAAAGCTGGAGGGTGATTTGAAAGGTCCCGACGTGGACATCAAAGGCCCTAAACTGGACGTTGACCTTCCTGATGTTGAACTGCAAGGTCCTGAAGGGAAACTGAAAGGCCCCAAGTTCAAGATGCCCGAGATGCACATCAAGACTCCCAAGATCTCCATGCCTGACATTGACCTGAACCTGAAAGGCCCCAAAGTGAAGGGAGATGTGGACATGTCTCTACCCAAGGTCGAGGGTGACTTGAAAGGTCCAGAACTGGATGTCAAAGGTCCCAAAGTCAATGTTGACCTTCCTGATGTTGAACTAGAATGTCCCGAGGGGAAGCTGAAAGGTCCCAAGTTCAAGATGCCAGAGATGCACATCAAGGCACCCAAGATCTCCATGCCTGATGTTGACTTCAACCTGAAGGGGCCCAAGATAAAGGGAGACGTGGATGTGTCTGTTCCAAAGCTCGAGGGTGACCTAAAATGTCCCGATGTTGACATCAAGGGCCCCAAAGTGGACATTGAGGCCCCAGATGTGAGCATTCAAGGGCCAGAAGGAAAGTTCAAGATGCCCAAGTTCAAGATGCCCAAGTTTGGGATGCCGGGATTCAAAGCGGAAGGTCCAGAGGTTGATGTGAACCTCCCAAAGGGAGATATTGATGTTTCTGCTCCGAAGGTGGATGTTGAGATGCCAAGTGTGGACATTGAAGGTCCAGAGGGGAAGCTGAAAGGGCCCAAGTTCAAGATGCCCGAGATGCACATCAAGGCTCCCAAGATCTCCATGCCTGACATTGACTTGAACCTGAAAGGTCCCAAAGTGAAGGGAGATGTGGATGTGTCTCTTCCCAAGGTCGAGGGTGAATTGAAAGGCCCAGAAATAGACATCCAAGGTCCCAAAGTCGATGTTGACCTCCCTGATGTAGAGCTGGAAGGCCCAGAGGGGAAGCTGAAGGGCCCCAAGTTCAAGATGCCCGAGATGCACATCAAGGCACCCAAGATCTCCATGCCTGATGTTGACTTCAATCTGAAGGGGCCCAAGCTAAAGGGAGATGTGGATGTGTCTGTTCCAAAGCTCGAGGGTGACCTGAAGGCTCCTGATGTGGACATCAAGGGCCCCAAAGTGGACATTGAGGCCCCAGATGTGAACATTCAAGGGCCAGAAGGAAAGTTCAAGATGCCCAAGTTCAAGATGCCCAAGTTCGGGATGCCGGGGTTCAAAGCGGAAGGTCCAGAGGTTGACGTGAACCTCCCAAAGGGAGATATTGATGTTTCTGGCCCAAAGGTGGATGTTGAGATGCCAAGTGTGGACATTGAATGTCCAGAGGGGAAGCTGAAGGGCCCCAAGTTCAAGATGCCCGAGATGCACATCAAGGCTCCCAAGATCTCCATGCCTGACATTGACTTGAACCTGAAAGGTCCCAAAGTGAAGGGAGATGTGGACGTGTCTCTACCCAAGGTCGAGGGTGAATTGAAAGGCCCAGAAATAGACATCCAAGGTCCCAAAGTCGATGTTGACCTTCCCGATGTAGAGCTGGAAGGTCCTGAGGGGAAGCTGAAAGGCCCCAAGTTCAAGATGCCCGAGATGCACATCAAGGCACCGAAATTCTCCATGCCCGATGTTGACTTCAATCTGAAGGGGCCCAAGCTAAAGGGAGATGTGGATGTGTCTGTTCCAAAGCTCGAGGGTGACCTGAAGGCTCCTGATGTGGACATCAAGGGCCCCAAAGTGGACATTGAGGCCCCAGACGTGAACATTCAAGGGCCAGAAGGAAAGTTCAAGATGCCCAAGTTCAAGATGCCCAAGTTCGGGATGCCGGGTTTCAAAGCAGAAGGTCCAGAGGTTGACATGAACCTGCCCACAGGAAGCCTGGATGTTTCTGCTCCAAAGGTGGACCTTGAAGGTCCAGAGGTGGACATTGAGTGTCCTGAGGTGAAGCTGAAGGGCCCCAAGTTCAAGATGCCCGAGATGCACATCAAGGCTCCCAAGATCTCCATGCCTGACATTGACTTGAATCTGAAGGGCCCCAAAGTGAAGGGAGATGTGGACGTGTCACTACCCAAGTTGGAAGGTGACTTAAAGGGCCCTGAAATAGATATCCAAGCTCCCAAAGTCGATGTTGACCTTCCTGATGTTGAACTGGAAGGTCCCGAGGGGAAGGTGAAGGGCCCCAAGTTCAAGATGCCCGAGATGCACATCAAGGCTCCCAAAATCTCCATGCCTGATGTTGACTTCAATCTGAAGGGTCCCAAGCTAAAGGGAGATGTGGATGTGTCTGTCCCAAAGCTCGAGGGTGACCTGAAGGCTCCTGATGTGGACATCAAAGGCCCCAAAGTGGACATTGAGGCCCCAGACGTGAACATTCAAGGGCCAGAAGGAAAGTTCAAGATGCCCAAGTTTAAGATGCCCAAGTTCGGGATGCCGGGATTCAAAGCGGAAGGTCCAGAGGTGGATGTGAACCTGCCCACAGGAAGCCTGGATGTTTCTGCTCCAAAGGTGGACATTGAAGGTCCAGAGTTGGACATTGAAGGCCCTGAGGGGAAGCTGAAGGGCCCCAAGTTCAAGATGCCCGAGATGCACATCAAGGCTCCCAAGATCTCCATGCCTGATGTGGACTTCAATCTGAAGGGCCCTAAGCTGAAGGGAGATGTGGACGTGTCTCTACCCAAGGTAGAAGGTGAATTGAAAGGTCCAGAACTGGATATCAGTGGTCCCAAAGTCAATGTTGACCTTCCTGATGTTGAACTGGAAGGCCCAGAGGGGAAGTTGAAAGGCCCAAAGTTCAAGATGCCCGAGATGCACATCAAGGCTCCCAAGTTCTCCATGCCCGACGTTGACTTCAACCTCAAGGGGCCCAAAGTTAAGGGGGATGTGGACGTGTCTCTCCCAAAGCTCGAGGGTGACCTGAAGGCTCCTGATGTGGACATCAAGGGCCCCAAAGTGGACATTGAGGCCCCAGACGTGGACATTCATGGCCCTGAAGGTAAAATCAAGATGCCCAAGTTCAAGATGCCCAAGTTTGGGTTGTCTGGGTTGAAAGGAGAAGGCCCAGATCTTGATGTCAACCTTCCTGAGGCCGATGTTGCTATTTCGGGTCCCAAGGTTGATGTTTCTGTTCCTGACCTGGACATTGAAGGGCCAGAAGGGAAATTGAAGGGCCCTAAATTGAAGAAGCCTGAGATTGGCTTCAATGTTCCCAAAATCTCCATGCCCGACATTGACTTACATCTGAAAGGTCCCAAAGTGAAAGGGGACATTGATCCTTCTATTCCCAAAGTAGAAGCTGAGCTGAAGAGTCCCAAGCTGGACATCAAAGGGCCAGAGGTTGAGGTTGAGGGACCAAAGCTTGATCTTGAAGGAAAAGGGAAAAAATCCAGGTTTAAACTCCCCAAATTTGGCTTTTCTGGCCCCAAAGTGCAAAGCCCTGAGGTGGACCTGAAAGTGAAGAAACCTGAGGTTGAGCTATCCGGCCCAAAAGTTGATGTTGCTGCTCCAGAGGTGGATATTCAGGCAAAATCAAAGGGCTCCAAGTTCAAAATGCCTTTTCTGACCATTTCCTCACCCAAAGTCTCGATGCCAGATGTGGAGCTCAACCTAAAAGGGCATAAAGTGAAAGGAGACTTGGATGTTTCCAGCCCCAAGTTGGAAGGGGAACTGAAAGGGCCCGATTTGGACATCAAAGGCCCCAAAGTCAACATCGAGGCACCTGATGTGGATGTTCATGGACCAGAGGGAAAACTCAAGATGCCCAAGTTCAAGATGCCCAAGTTTGGGGTGTCAGGGTTTAAAGCAGAGGGGCCGGAGGTGGACCTCAGCATTCCCAAAGCAGAGCTGGATGTTTCGGGTCCCAAGCTGGATATCGAAGGTGCTGGCTTGGAGATAGAAGGTCCAGAGGGGAAGCTGAAGGGCCCCCACTTGAAGATGCCAGAAGTGAACATCAAAGCACCCAAGATCTCCATGCCTGACATTGACCTGAACCTGAAAGGTCCCAAAGTGAAGGGAGATGTGGATGTGTCTCTTCCTCAAGTGGATCTGAAAGGCTCAGATGTGACTGTGAAAGGACCCAAAGTGGATGTCGAGGTTCCTGACCTTGACATTGAAGGTCCCAAAGGCAAATTGAAAGGCCCCAAGTTTAAAATGCCTGAAATGAACATCAAAGGTCCCCATATTTCCATGCCAGATTTGGACTTGAATTTGAAAGGCCCCAAGTCCAAAGGGGGGGTAGACATCGACCTTTCCGTGCCAAAAGTGGAAGGGGACTTGAGTGTTCCAGACGTTAACATCCAGGGACCAAAGGTTGACATTGATGCTCCCGAGCTGGATGTTGAAGGAAAACTGAAAGGTCCCAAGTTCAAGATGCCCGAGATGCACATCAAGGCTCCCAAAATCTCCATGCCTGACGCCAGCTTCAACCTCAAAGGTCCAAGCCTGAAAGGAGACATAGATATTTCTGCTCCAAAGCTCGAGGGTGACCTGAAGGCTCCTGACATCAGTATTGGGGGCCCCAAGGTCGACATTGAGGTGCCAGATGTGGACATTCAAGGCCCAGAAGGAAAGTTCAAGATGCCCAAGTTCAAGATGCCCAAGTTCGGGATGCCGGGATTCAAAGCAGAAGGTCCAGAGGTGGATGTGAACCTGCCCACGGGAAGCCTGGATGTTTCTGCTCCAAAGGTGGACATTGAAGGTCCAGAGTTGGACATTGAAGGTCCTGAGGGGAAACTGAAAGGCCCCAAGTTCAAGATGCCCGAGATGCACATTAAGGCTCCCAAGATCTCCATGCCTGACATTGACTTGAACCTGAAGGGCCCCAAAGTGAAGGGAGATGTGGATGTGTCTCTCCCCAAGGTAGAAGGTGAATTGAAAGGTCCGGAACTGGATATCAAAGGACCCAAAGTGGACATAGATGTTCCTGATGTGGACATTGAAGGACCAGAAGGAAAACTGAAAGGCCCCAAACTGAAGATGCCTGAGATGCATTTTAAGGCCCCCAAGATCTCGATGCCAGACTTTGACCTGAACCTGAAAGGCCCAAAAGTGAAGGGGAATGTGGATGTGTCTGTGCCGTGTGTGGAAGGTGACCTGAAAGGCCCCAAAGTGGATGTTAAAGGTCCTGAGCTGGACATTGGTGCCCCAGATGTTCAAATAGAGGGCCCAGAAGGGAAATTGAAGGGTCCCAAGTTCAAGATGCCCGAGATGCATTTCAAAGCCCCCAAGATCTCAATGCCGGACTTTGACCTGAACCTGAAAGGTCCCAAAGTGAAGGGGGATGTGGACGTGTCTGTGCCAAAGCTGGAAGGTGATTTGAAAGGTCCAGATATTGACATCAAAGGCCCTAAACTGGACGTTGACCTTCCTGATGTTGAGCTGGAAGGTCCAGAGGGGAAGCTGAAGGGCCCCAAGTTCAAGATGCCTGAGATGCACATCAAGGCTCCCAAGATCTCCATGCCTGACATTGACCTGAACCTGAAGGGCCCCAAAGTGAAGGGAGATGTGGACGTGTCTCTTCCCAAGGTAGAAGGTGAATTGAAAGGTCCAGAACTGGATATCAGTGGTCCCAAAGTCAATGTTGACCTTCCTGATGTTGAACTGGAAGGTCCCGAGGGGAAGCTGAAAGGCCCCAAGTTCAAGATGCCCGAGATGCACATCAAGGCACCCAAGATCTCCATGCCTGATGTTGACTTCAACCTGAAGGGGCCCAAGCTAAAGGGAGATGTGGACGTTTCACTTCCCAAGCTTGAAGGTGACCTGAATGCTCCTGATGTGGACATCAAGGGCCCCAAAGTGGACATTGAGGCCCCAGATGTGAACATTCAAGGCCCAGAAGGAAAGTTCAAGATGCCCAAGTTCAAGATGCCTAAGTTCGGGATGCCGGGATTCAAAGCGGAAGGTCCAGAGGTTGACGTGAACCTCCCAAAAGGAGATATTGATGTTTCTGGCCCAAAGGTAGATATTGAGATGCCAAGTGTGGACATTGAAGGTCCAGAGGGGAAGCTGAAAGGGCCCAAGTTCAAGATGCCCGAGATGCACATCAAGGCTCCCAAGATCTCCATGCCTGACATTGACTTGAACCTGAAAGGTCCCAAAGTGAAGGGAGATGTGGACGTGTCTCTACCCAAGGTAGAAGGTGAATTGAAAGGCCCAGAAATAGACATCCAAGGTCCCAAAGTCGATGTTGACCTTCCCGATGTAGAGCTGGAAGGTCCTGAGGGGAAGCTGAAGGGCCCCAAGTTCAAGATGCCCGAGATGCACATCAAGGCTCCCAAGTTCTCCATGCCCGATGTTGACTTCAATCTGAAGGGGCCCAAGCTAAAGGGAGATGTGGATGTGTCTGTCCCAAAGCTCGAGGGTGACCTGAATGCTCCTGATGTAGACATCAAAGGCCCCAAAGTGGACATTGAGGCCCCAGACGTGAACATTCAAGGCCCAGAAGGAAAGTTCAAGATGCCCAAGTTCAAGATGCCCAAGTTCGGGATGCCGGGATTCAAAGCGGAAGGTCCAGAGGTGGATGTGAACCTGCCCACAGGAAGCCTGGATGTTTCTGCTCCAAAGGTGGACATTGAAGGTCCAGAGGTGGACATTGAAGGTCCTGAGGGGAAACTGAAAGGCCCCAAGTTCAAGATGCCTGAGATGCACATCAAGGCTCCCAAGATCTCCATGCCTGACATTGACTTGAACCTGAAGGGCCCCAAAGTGAAAGGAGATGTGGACGTGTCTGTGCCAGGAGTCGAGTGTGAACTGAAGGGTCCAGAGGTCAACATCGGGGGCCCTAAATTAGACATCGATGCCCCCAGTGTTGATGTTGAAGGTCCAGAGGGGAAATTCAAGCTGCCCAAGTTCAAGATGCCCAAGTTCTCCATGCCAGGCTTCAAAGGGGAGGGAGTGGATGTGGATGTGAACCTCCCCAAGGGAGACCTTGACCTCTCAGGCCCCAGCTTGGATGTGGAGGCTCCTGATGTCAGTGTGGATGGAAAAGTCAAAGGTCCCAAATTTTCCATGCCCGAAATGCACATTAAGGCTCCCAAGGTCTCCCTCCCTGACGTTGACTTCAACATCAAAGGCCCCCAGCTGAAGGGAGGGGTGGATGTCTCTGGCCCCAGGCTTGAAGGTGATTTGAAAGCCCCCCAGATCGATGTGAAAGCCCCCAAAATCGACGTTGAGGTTCCTGATGTGGCCATTGAAGGTCCCGAGGGGAAGCTGAAGGGACCCAAGTTCAAGATGCCTGAGATGCACATCAAGGCCCCCAAGTTCTCCATGCCCGACGTTGACTTCAACCTGAAGGGCCCCAAAGTGAAGGGAGATGTGGATGTCTCTGCTCCAAAGCTGGAGGGGGATTTGCAGTGTCCAGAAGTTGACATCAAAGGCCCCAAGTTGGACATTGAGGCACCTGATGTGAACATTGAGGGGCCGGATGGGAAACTGAAAGGCCCCAAGTTCAAGATGCCCGAGATGCACATCAAGGCTCCCCATATCTCCATTCCTGACATCGACCTCAACCTGAAAGGCCCAAAGCTTGAGGGCGGTCTGAAGGGACCTGAGATCGACATCAAGGGCCCCAGAGTAAATATTGAGGGTCCGGAGGTCAACGGGGATGGCCTGGAGGGCAAAATGAAGCTGCCAAAACTGAAGCTGCCCAAGTTTGGCCTGAAAGGAGAAGGTCCTGATGTAGATGTGAACCTGCCAAAGGCAGAGGTAGATCTCTCAGGCCCCAAGGTTGATATCAGTGTCCCGGATGTGAGCATCGAAGGTCCAGAGGGCAAAGTGAAAGGCCCTAAACTGAAGATGCCCGAAGTGCATGTGAACGTTCCCAAGATCTCGATGCCGGAGATCGATTTGAACTTGAAAGGCCACAAGACCAAGGGAGGCTTCGACATCTCCACCCCAAAGCTCGAAGGGAACCTGAAAGGTCCCGACATTGACATCAAAGGCCCAGAGCTTGGGATCAAAGGCCCTGAGGTTGATGTTGAGTGTCCTGACCTGAGCATTGAAGGCCTGGAGGCAAATGTGAAGGTCCCCAAGTTGAAGAAGTCAAAGTTTGGGTTCGGGATGAAGAGCCCAAAGGCAGAAGTCAAGGGCCCAGGGGCCGATGTGGATCTACCCGAGGCAGAGCTGAACGTGGAGGCACCGGACATCAACCTCGCAGGCAAGGGCAAGAAGAGCAAGTTCAAGATGCCCAAACTTCACATGAGCGGCCCTAAAGTCAAAGGCAAGAAGGGGGGGTTCGACGTCAACGCGGCCGGGGGAGACCTCGACTTGGATGTGACCGCATCCGGACTGGATGCAGCAGCCAAAGGGGAGGTTACGGTGAAGTCCCCCAAAGGGAAGAAGCCGATGTTTGGGAAAATCTCCTTCCCCGATGTGGAGTTTGACCTGAAATCGCATCGGTTCCGAGGAGACGCTTCCATGGCAGCCCCCAAGATCGAGGGGGAGCTCAAAGGGCCGGAGCTGGACGTGGCTGTGCCAGCGTTCAAAGGGGACCTGAAAGGTCCAAGTCTCAACATGGACCTTGAAGCTCCTGATGTGAACGTGAAGAAGCCCAAATTCAACCTTCCCAGTGGGCAGATGGGAGCGGGGGGGTTGAAAATGGAAGGAGCCTCCATTGACGTTGCGGTTCCCTCGGTGTCGGTGCCAGACGTCGACTTCAATGTGAAAGGACCAAAGGGTGAGGTCAATGTTCCTGGAGCAGAACTGGAAGGTCCCGAAGGGAAACTGAAGTTGCCCAAGGTGGGGAAAATGGGTCTTGATCTGGGAATGCCGGATGTGAACCTGGATCTGTCTGTCCCAGCAATGGAAGGAAGCGTGAGCCTCCCTTCGGCTGATGCCAGCCTCCGAGGGGTGGATGTGAAGCTCCAAGGGCCCCAAATCTCCGGCCCCGAGTTTGATGCAAACCTGAAAGGACCAAAGCTAAAGGGAGATGTGGACGCTTCGAGTTCCCTGGAAGGGCCCAAGGTCAGCCTGGATGCGCCGGGAATTGACCTGGGAGGTTTGGGAGGGAAACTGAAGCTGCCCAAGTTCAAGTCCCCAACGATGGAGGGACCGGACCTGAAGGGAGGCATTGAGTGCTCCATGGAGGCAAAAGCCCCGGGGGCAAATCTCAACCTGGGCACCGCAGGCATCGATATCAGAGGGCCCTCAGTGGATGTTTCAGCCCCAGATCTGGATGTGAACCTGAAAGGACCAAAGTTGAAAGGAGACTTGGACGTCCAATGCCCCAAAGCATCGGTGGACGTGTCTGACGCCGGCTTCGAGATCCTGGGTGGCACCATCAAGCTCCCATCCCTCAAACTCCCCCAGTTTGGGCTTTCCAGCCCCGGTGTGGATGGAGCCGATGTTGGCATCAACCTTGAAGGTCCCCAGGTGAAAGGAGGCCTGAAGGGCTCCGGCGTTGGGCTGGAAGGACCCAACGTGGAAGTGAAAGGGCCTCACATTTCCCTGCCAGATGCTGACCTGAAGCTGAAAGGACCAAACCTGGATGTCACCGGTGAGATCAGAGCTCCAAAAGTCAGCGTGGAAGCACCTCATGTGGGTATCAAGGAGCCCAGCGCTGGCATCCACGTGGATGCTCCGGCCATGGATGCGTCTGCCCTGAAAGGATCCGGGTCTGGGTTGAACGTCAACGTGAAAGGGCCAAAGCTCCACATCAGCGGCTCAAAGGGAGGTCCCGGGGTCAGCGCAGGTGCCCCAGAGCCCAGTGTTGGCAAAGTTTCCTTCCCCAAGCTGCGGATGCCCAAGTTTGTGTTTTCTGACCCGGAGGTGAAGGGCAGGGAGATGGGGGTGGACGTGGAGTTCCCCGATGCCCACATCCAGGCCGGCGCCACGGAGCTGGAGCTGGAAGACGCCGACGTCCGCCTGAAGAAATCCAAGCTCAAGATGCCCAAGTTCAACTTCTCCAAGCAGAAAGGGAAGAGCAGCGGGGCCCTGGGCTCCCCAGAGGCATCGGGATCCAGAGGGGACCTGAAGAGCTCCAAGGGCAGTCTGGGCTCAGCAGAAGGGGAGCTGGATGGGGCCGAGGCGCCGTCGGCCAAGGCCAAGTTCTCCTTGTTCAAGAGCAGGAAGACGCGGCACCGATCGTCGTCATTCAGCGATGAGCGCTCGGCCCATTCCCCGCCATTGGGAGCGCTGGAGCTGGACGCCGGTGACAAAGGCAAAGCGGGCAGGATGAAATTCGGGACGTTCGGGGGCATCGGCTCCAAAACCAAAGGCTCCTATGAGGTGACCGGCAGCGACGAGGAGCTGCCCAAGGCGCCCGGCGTCGCCAAGAAGTCACGGTTGTCATCGTCCTCCAGCACCGACAGCGCGACCAAGGCTGGCTTCCGCATGCCCGGTGTGGAGCTGACGGTGGCCAAGAGGAAGGAGCAGCCGGGCTGCACGTAGGGGCCGTTGTATATAGGGAGCCCCATATGGGTCTGTAGATACGTTTTGTAGCTCGGGCTCCCCATCCTTCTGTAACCCCATATCCCAACCCTACAAAGAGCCAAGCGGGAGCTTCATCCGCACTCGGAATGTCGGCTTGTGCATGGAATGCTGAGAGCTGTGCCGGCTATTTTTGATATAACTCTTATTCCCTCCCCCCCCCCCCCCTTGTTTGACCGGATATTTTCAGTGTTTTGGGTCATGGAAATGGGATTTTGGGGTTTTTTTTTTGGTTCTTTTTCTTGCTCGGTGGGGGCTGAAGAAATGGAGCTTTAAGAAAAGGCACCCTGGAACGGAGCCGCGGGGCCGAGCCGCGTGATTCCCATGGTTGGGATGCACCAGGATATCGGATAACGGGGAGGGAAAAGGACAAGCTGTGACCCGGTGGTGCAGGAAAACAACTCCAAAGGCTTCCAGTCTTCACACCCCCCCCCCCCCCCCTCCATGCCCAAGGGCTGATTTTGGGTTGGTTTGTGAGATTTTCACTCGTCCTTCGTTGCCTTTAATGCATTTGTGCCTTTCTTTGATGAAAAGAGACAGAAAAAGAACCAAAACCCCCCAAATCTCGTTGAACAGTTCTGGTTTGAGGGTCAAAACCGAAAAATGCAGCAATAAACCAAAAAAAAACAAACCCAAACAAAAAACCAAAGCAAAAGCCCCTTTTTTTAGCACTTTAACAGCAAAATAATCGCGGTGTCAGAAGAATGATCTTGTAAAATGCAAATAAACCGTTTATTAACCGGGATTTGGCCATTGTCTTTGTTTTTTTGGGGGGGTTTAAGGGTTATTTAGTGGATAATTTGGGGGGAGGGTGCCCCTCGCTATGGGGCATTCATTTCCACCCCACCACACCCCCATCCGCGTTGGGGGTCAGCGCTCCTCCAGTCCCGAAGGGGGCGCTGTTCTCTGCCAGCCGCCTCCCAGCCTCATGGGACACCTCCAAGCACAAGGGGGCGCTGTTTCACACAGCGGCCATGCCGGAAGTTGCCGGTTGTAGTCGCTACGTTGGCCGCAGTGCACGCTGGGAGTTATAGTTCAGCACAGACATCCGTCGGCCATGTTGCCCCGGTGCATGCTGGGAGTTGCAGTTCTCGATGGACCCCTGTCGGCCATGTTGCCCCGGTGCATGCTGGGAGTTGTAGTTCTCATCTCTGGCTCCTTGTCGGGCACGTAATTCCCGTTTATGTTGTATTCTATTCTTACGTAACAATATATATTATATTTATTATATTATATTATATTACATTATATTATATTACATTATATTATAATGTAATAAGACATATTACACGATATTCTACCATACTATTATATGATGGTGTACATATTCTATTTTACCCTATTCTACTCTAAGAAGATGCATTTAATTGCATTATATTATAGCATATTGTCTATTCTATTCAGATATATTACATTCTATTCTATTCTATTATTGACATCAGTTATTATTATTATGTATCAGATTCTCCTGTAATAAGATGTATTACATTGTATTCTCCCATATTATTAGACAATCTATCTAGTCTATTCTAATAAGACATATCAGATCACCTTCTAGATAATATATTTTAATTGAATGATTCTTTTCTATTCTATTTTGGCAAATTGAATCACCGTTTATGCCACAAGTTCTATTCTATTCTATCCTATTCTATTCTATCCTATCCTATGAGATGCATTCTATCGCATCACTCTCGCTCCCTACAACTGCCGGCCAGGAGGATGGGGCCAGGATGGGGCTGGGCTCTGCTCCCAAGGGATGGGACAAGAGGAAACGGCCTCAAGCGGCACCAGGGCAGGTTTAGATGGAGCTGAGGAACGATTCCTGCCCCATTGGCCCAGGCTGCCCAGGGCAGGGTTGCAGCCAGCATCCCTGGGGGTGCTCACACCCCCTCAGTGCCATGGGCTGGAGGAGCCTGAAGCCCATTCCCCCCCACCCCGGTTGGTTCCATGGCTCCACATCTCCCCCCCCCCCCCCCCCCAGTGTCCATGCAAACCCCCCACATCTCCATGGACAGACCCCACATAGAGCCCCCCCCCAAAACATGGCATCACTTGCACAGGGTCATTGGAAGCCAGTGATTGCCTTTATTGAGGGCAGGCAGCACATGGCCAATGGAGAGCACCCACATCCCATATGGAGCACCCACGGTTCGTGCTCCGTGTCCTGCCTGGAGTGCCATGTCCCATGTGGAGCACCCATGTTCCACTTCCCATGTCCCATGTGGAGCACCCATGTTCCACATCCCATGTCCCATGTGGAGCACCCATGTTCCACATCCCATGTCCCATGTGGAGCACCCACATTCATGTCCACATCCCACATCCCATGTCCTATGCTAAATGTTCCATGTGCAGCATCCATGTTCCGTGTCCCATATTCCATGTCCCATGTGCAGCACCCACATCCATGTCCATGTCCTAAGTTCCATGTCCATGTCCTAAGTTACATGTCCATGTCCCATGTGCAGCATCCAGATTCATGTCCCATGTGGAGCACCCACATCCATGGCCCACATCCCATGTCCTATGTTCCATGTGCAGCATCCATATTCCATGACCCATATGGAGCACCCATGTTCCATGTCCATGTTGCACATCCATGTCCATGTTCCATGTCCCATGTGGAGCACCCACACCCACATCCATGTTCCTTGCTCCATGTGGAGCACCCACATCCATGTCCATGTCCCACATGGAGCACCCACACCCACATCCATGTCCCATGTGGAGCACCCACACCCACATCCATGTTCCTTGCTCCCTGTGGAGCACCCACATCCATGTCCATGTCCCATGTGGAGCACCCACATCCATGTCCCATGTGGAGCACCCACATCCATGTCCATGTTCCATTTGGAGCACCCACATCCATGTCCATGTTCTATGTGGAGCACCCACATCCATGTTCATGTCCCATGTGGAGCACCCACATCCATGTCCATGTCCATGTCCCACGTGGAGCACCCACATCCACGTCCATGTCCCAGGTGGAGCGCCCACATCCACGTCCATGTTCCTTGTTCCATGTGGAGCACCCACATCCATGTCCATGTCCAATGTGGAGCACCCACATCCATGTCCATGTCTCATGTCCCACGTGGAGCACCCACATCCACGTCCATGTCCCACGTGGAGCACCCACATCCACGTCCATGTCCCACGTGGAGCACCCACATCCATGTCCATGTCTCATGTCCCACGTGGAGCACCCACATCCACGTCCATGTCCCACGTGGAGCACCCACATCCACGTCCATGTCCCACGTGGAGCACCCACATCCATGTCCATGTCTCATGTCCCACGTGGAGCACCCACATCCACGTCCATGTCCCACGTGGAGCACCCACATCCACGTCCATGTCCCACGTGGAGCACCCACATCCATGTCCATGTCTCATGTCCCACGTGGAGCACCCACATCCACGTCCATGTCCCACGTGGAGCACCCACATCCATGTCCATGTCTCATGTCCCACGTGGAGCACCCACATCCACGTCCATGTCCCACGTGGAGCACCCACATCCACGTCCATGTCCCACGTGGAGCACCCACATCCACGTCCATGTCCCACGTGGAGCACCCACACCCACATCCATGCCCTACGTCCCCGCGGGTGCCGGTGCGGGCTCAGCAGCGCCGCGCGGAGCCCGGGTAGCGCTGGCGCAGGTCGGTGCGGAAGCGGCGGAAGAGGAGGCGGTTCCGGTGCTGCTCCGCGCCGCGGCCCCCGTGGAACCCCGCGGCCTCCTTGAAGCCGCCGTGAACCACGAAGGCCCCGTCCAGCACCGCGAAACGGAACCCGGCCACGTGCAGCTCACACGCCTGGGGGGAGAGAGGGCATGGGAGCCCCGGAGACGCCTACAGCACCCACAGACCCCTACAGCACCCATAGCTCCCCTACAGCACCCAGAGACCCCTACAGCACCCAGAGACCACCATAGCACCCATAGCTCCCCTACAGCACCCATAGCTCCCCTACAGCACCCAGAGACCCTCATAGCACCCATAGACCACCACAGCACCCATAGCTCCCCTATAGCATCCATAGACCTCATAGCTCCCCTATAGCACCCACAGACTTTCTATAGCACCCATAGAGCCCCATAGCACCCAGAGACCCCTACAGCACCCATAGCTCCCCTATAGCACCCAGAGACCCTCTATAGCACCCACAGACACCTATAGCAGCCACAGCTCCTCTATAGCACACATAGACCCCAATAGCACCTAGAGACCCCTATAGCACCCACAGACACGCTATAGAACTCACAGACCCCTATAGCACCCAGAGCACCCCTATAGCACCCACAGCTCCCTGACAGCACCCACAGACCCTCTATAGCACCCATAGACCCCCGTAGCACCCAGAGACCCCTATAGCACCCATAGCTCCCCTATAGCACCCACAGACCCTCTATAGCACCCACAGACCCCTACAGCAGCCATAGCTCCTCTATAGCACCTATAGACCCCAATAGCACCCAGAGACCCCCATAGCACCCAGAGACCCCTACAGCACCCATCGCTCCCCTATAGCACCCAGAGACCCCCACAGCACCCACAGACCCCTATAGCACCCACAGACCCTCTATAGCACCCATACATCTTCTACAGCACCCAGAGACCCCTACAGCACCCACAGACCCCTACAGCACCCATAGCTCCCCTACAGCACCCAGAGACCCCTACAGCACCCAGAGACCACCATAGCACCCATAGCTCCCCTACAGCACCCATAGCTCCCCTACAGCACCCAGAGACCCCTACAGCACCCAGAGACCACCATAGCACCCATAGCTCCCCTATAGCACCCATAGCTCCCCTATAGCACCCATAAACCCCTACAGCACCCATAGCTCCCCTACAGCACCCACAGACCCCCATAGCACCCAGACTACCATAGCACCCACAGCTCCCCTATAGCACCCATAGCTCCCTATAGCACCCATACCTCCCCTATAGCACCCACAGACCCCCATAGCACCCATAGCTCCCCTATAGCACCCACAGACCCCTATAGCACCCACAGACCCCCATAGCACCCATAGACCACCACAGCACCCATAGCTCCCCTATAGCACCCACAGACTTTCTATAGCACCCATAGAGCCCCGTAGCACCCAGAGACCCCTATAGCAGCCACAGCTCCTCTATAGCACACATAGACCCCAATAGCACCTAGAGACCCCTATAGCACCCACTGACACTCTATAGAACCCACAGACCCCTATAGCACCCAGAGCACCCCTATAGCACCCACACATCCCTATAGCACCCAAAGACCCCTATAGCACCCATAGCTCCCTGACAGCACCCACAGACCCTCTATAGCACCCATAGACCCCCGTAGCACCCAGAGACCCCTATAGCACCCATAGCTCCCCTATAGCACCCACAGACCCTCTATAGCACCCACAGACCCCTACAGCAGCCATAGCTCCTCTATAGCACCTATAGACCCCAATAGCACCCAGAGACCCCCACAGCACCCACAGACCCCCATAGCACCCACAGACCCTCTATAGCACCCATACATCTTCTACAGCACCCAGAGACCCACCACACCACCCAGAGACCCCATAGCACCCGTAGATCCTCTATAGCACCCACAGACCTCCCAGGACCCACTGATGCCTTATAGCACCCACTGTCCCCCTAAGAGCACCCATAGCCCTTTGACCACCCCACAGCACCCACAGTCCCCATGGCCACCCTATGGTCCCCATGGCCACCCCACAGCACCCACATCCCCCATAGACAACCCAGCCCCCACACACACCACCCAGAGACCCCACAGCACCCATAGATCCTCTATAACACCCACAGACCTCCCACCACCCATTGATGCCTTATAGCACCCACAGTCCCCCTAAGAGCACCCATAGCCCCTTGACCACCCCACAGCATCCACAGCCCCCCATGGCCACCCTATGGTCCCCATAGCCACCCCACAGCACCCACAGCCCCCATGGTCACCCTACGGTCCCCATAGCCACCCCACAGCACACATGGCCACCCTATGGTCCCCATGGCCACACCACACCACCCACAGCCCCCATGGCCACCCTATGGTCCCCAAGACCACCCTATGGTCCCCATGGCCACCCCACAGCACCCACAGTCCCCATGGCCACCCCACAGCACGCACAGTCCCCATGGCCACCCCACAGCACGCACAGTCCCCATGGCCACCCTACGGTCCCCATGGCCACCCCACAGCACCCACAGCTCCTATGGCCACCCCACAGCACGCACAGTCCCCATGGCCACCCTATGGTCCCCATGGCCACCCTACAGCACCCACAGCCCCCATGGGCACCCCAGGGCCCCCCGAGCACCCTCCATCACCTGACTGATGCGGTTGAAGCCGTACTGCAGGAAGCGCTCATCGAAGGGGGGTACGCTGTGGGCCGGCCCCACATAAAAGGGTTCCCAGGGGTCACGCCATGGGGCTTCATAGGCCACTCGCAGGTGTGGGGCGGGCGGCAGCGCCCACCAGCGCCCATAGTCCGTGGGTGCCTGGCACCGGGGGCACAGCGCCCCATAGAAGGGCCGAGCATCCCCCGTGCCCCACAGCCGCCGCAGCTCTGCCTTCGTCCCCGGCACCGGGGTCCCCAAACGCACCTCGAAGGCTGGGAGCACGAACACCACATGGGTCCAGGGCGGCTGCATGGGACCTGGGGCATTGGGGTCCTCAGGGATATCGGGGTTCCTTAGGATGCTGGGGACCTCCAAGGCTTTGGGGTCCTCTGGGACGTTGGGGTCCTTTAGGATGTTGGGGTCCTTTGGGCCATTGGGGTCCTTTAGGATGCTTGGGACCTCTAAGGCATTGGGGTGCTTTAGGACATTGGGGTCCCTTAGGATGCTGGGGTCCTCTGGGACATTGGGGTCCTTTAGGATGCTGGGGACCTCCAAGGCTTTGGGGTCCTCTGGGACGTTGGGGTCCTTTAGGATGTTGGGGTCCTTTGGGCCATTGGGGTCCTTTAGGATGCTTGGGACCTCTAAGGCATTGGGGTGCTTTAGGACATTGGGGTCCCTTAGGATGCTGGGGTCCTCTGGGACATTGGGGTCCTTTAGGATGCTGGGGACCTCCAAGGCTTTGGGGTCCCTTAGGACATTGGGGTCCTTTGGGACATTGGGGTCCTTTAGGATGTTGGGGTCCCTTGGGACATTGGGGACCTCCAAGACACTGGGGACCCCCAGGACATCCTTGGTGCTCCCCACCCTATTGGGGACCCCGAGGGCGTTGAGCCCCTGATGCTCACTGGGGACCCCAAAACCATGGGGGGGGTCCAGGGCGTTGGGGACCCCTTTGAGGCCATCAGATGCCTGCAATAACGGGGAGCCCCCCCCATCTCCCCACAATGGGGGTCCCTCCCCTCGCAGCGCCCTCAGGAACCCCTCCCGCAGCCCCCGGCTGGGTACCACATCCGCATCCAGCAGCAGCACAAAGCGGCTCCCCATAGGGCCGGGGGGGCCGGGACCCCCATTTCCCCCCCCATAGCCCCCCCCCGTGGCCGCCCCAGCCCAGGCCAGGTTCCGCAGTAGGTTCCCGGGGTACGGCACCCCCAAAGTGTAACTGGGGGGGTCCGCGGCCGCCACGCGCCCCAGAGCCCCCCTGCACCCCCCGGGGGCTCGGGGGAAAGGGGGGGTCACGATGGGGGGGGGCTCGGCCGCCCCCAGCACCACGTGGAGCCGCAGGCGCCCCCGAAGCCCCCGGCACGGCCCCCCCATTGCCCGCAGGAGCTGCCCCAGCCCCGCCCGGGGGACCCCAAAGACCGCGACCGAGAGGGGCCCCCCCCAAATGCCCCCTTCCAGCGCCCCCCCCAGCGCCGCCGCCGCCCGCCCGGGGGTCCCGTGCGTGGCCAGGACCAAGTCGGGGGGGGGAGCCCAATGTGGGGGGGGGCCCCCCAACACGTCCCGATACAACCGGAAGGTTCCGGAAGCATCCAGAACCCCCCTGGGGGGGGGAGGCAGCGGTTTATGGGGGCGCCGGCGGGGGGGTGCGGGGGGGGGCAGCGCTCGCAGGTAAAGGGTCTGCAGCAGCGCCAGCCCCCCCAGCAGCCAAGCGCAGCCCCCCAAGAGCCGCCCTCGACCCATAGCGTGAGGCCCCCCCCCCCCCAAACTGGGGATACTGGGAAGGGACTGGGGAGGGGGGGGGGCACTGGGACTGGGGGATGCTGGGTGTTACTGGTGCGCTGCTGGGGAGCACTGGGGTCTGGACGAGGTCAATGGGACCAGTCCGGGGGGGGGGGCGCCGGGATCAGTGCGGAGCATGGACCAGTACGGCATGCTGGGAGCACTATGGGGATCACTGGGACCAGTATGGGGGTGCCGGGACCAGTACGGGGGTTACTGGGACCAGTATGGGGGTGATAGGACCAATATAAGATCACTGGGAACAGTATGGGGGTGCTAGGACCAGTACGGGGGTTACTGGGACCAGTATGGGGGTGATAGGACAATATAAGATCACTGGGACCAGTATGGGGGTGCCAGGACCAGTACGGGGGTTACTGGGACCAGTATGGGGGTGCCGGGACCAGTACGGGGTTACTGGGACCAGTATGGGATCACTGGGACCAGTACGGGGTTACTGGACCAGTATGGGGGTGATAGGACCATATAAGATCACTGGGACCAGTATGGGGGTGCTAGGACCAGTAAGAGGTTACTGGGACAGTATATGATCACTGGGACCAGTATGGGGGTGCTAGGACCAGTATGAGATCACTGGGACCAGTATAGGGGTGCTAGGACCAGTACGGGGGTTACTGGGACCAGTATGGGGGTGCCAGGACCAGTAAGGGGGTTTACTGGACCAGTATGGGGGTGCCAGGACCAGTAAGGGGGTTACTGGGACCACTATGGGATCACTGGGACCAGTACGGGGTTACCGGGACCAGTATGGGGGTGATAGGACCAATATGGGATCACTGGGACCAGTATGGGAATGCTAGGACCAGTAAGGGGTTACCGGGACCAGTACGGGGGTGCTGGGACCGGTAAGGGGTTACCGGGACCAGTACGGGGGTGCTAGGACCGGTAAGGGGTTACTGCGACCAGTACGGGGGTGCTGGGCCCGGTAAGGGGTTACTGGGACCAGTATGGGGTTATCCCGAGACCATCGCAAGGAAAGGACCGGGATGGGACCGAGGGGAACCGGGACCCGCGACCTCACCGCACCGCGTCGCCGCAGGAACCGCGCATGCGCGGGGCGGAGCCTGAACGTGCCAGAGGGGGGCGTGGTCAAGACGACAGATGGGCGGGGTTAATACGGATGGGGGCGTGGCCTGTGCGCTGCCCGGGTCCCGCCGTGGCTCCGCAGCGCTGGGACCGTCCCGACCCTCGGTCCCCCCCCCCCCCCCATCACGGGGTACCCCCAAGCACAGGGGTGCACAGGGGTCCCCCCCAATGTCTGGGTTCCTCCCACACCCCTGGGTTCCCCCCCCCAAAGCCCCTGGGACCTCCCAAATCCATGGATCCCCCCCCCCCCCAATCCCTGGGTCCCCCCAAGCCCATGGGTCCCCCCCCCAGACGCCTTTGTCCCTATAAAGAAGCTGCCACGGGCACAGGGACACGGAGGCCGCTTTATTTCCAAGGGGGTGTCAGGGCCACGGGGCCTCCAGGGGATGTTGGGGGGACAATGGGAGCCAGTCCTCGCGGTGGGGACGTTGGGGACATCGGGGTCTCAGTCCCTTGAGTCAAGGTGATGACGATGCCCCACATCCTTCGGGGACATCGGAGACGTGGGGGACATTGGGCTACGACGGATCTCAGTCCTTGGGGTTGGGGACATTGGGGACATCAGACCACGATGTGTCTCAGTCCATTGCTCCAGGGTGACAACAAGGTCCCGCGTCCCTTGGGGACACTGGGGACATCAAGCCACAAGGTGTCTCGGTCTCTCCAGCTTGAGGCGACAATGAGGTGCGACAGTCTCAGTCCTTTTGGTGGTGTCCGCATCCTTTGGGGCGCTGGGGGGACACCGGTCCCTTGGGTCACAGCGGTGATGAGGTGCCCGTGTCCCTCAGGGACGTTGGGGACGTCGAGTTGTGACGAGTCTCAGTCCCTCGGGCTCGGTGACATCGCGCTGCGACGTATCTCGATGTCTTGGGTGGGGGACGTTGGGGACATCGAGGATGTGGGGGACAGTGGGGACACTGGGGATGTCAGGGGCACTGGGGATGTGGGGGCCATTGGGGACACTGAGCCACGATGTGTCTCAGTCCCTCAAACTGGGGACATCTCACAGTCCCTTGGGGGACTTTGGGACATGGGGGACATCGAGCCATGATCTCTCCCAGCCCAATGGCTTGGGGCAGCGGGTGCCCACGTCCCCCAGGTTGGGGACATTGGGGACACTGGGGTCATGGTGTGTCTCCATGCCTTGGGTTGGGGACACTGGGGACATCGAGCCACATTGTGCCTCAGCCCCTTGAGTTGGGAACGTTGGGGACATCGGGACACTGAGCCACGAGGTCTCCATCACTCGGGTCGGGGACACTGGGGACATCAAGCCACATCGTGCCTCGGTCCCTTGGGTTGGGGACATTGGGGATGACACCCATGGGGGGGGGGGAGCACACACTTTTGGGGGTACTCTGCCAAAAATGCAGACCCCAAGGTGGGGACGGGGGGATGACAAGGACAGGGACGGGGTGGGTGACAAGGGACAGGGACATTGGGGATGGGGGGGGGGGGGCACAGGCTCCTACAGGTGGGTCCAAGCCACCCACTGACAAGATTTGGGGACCGGTCCCGCAGTGGGGCTGGGGACGGGGACATGGGGACATGGGACCCAGGCGTCCAGGCTGGGGGGGGGGGGGGGGGGGGGCCACCAGCCCCCCCCCAATTACCTTAGAGACTCGTTACGAGTTAAATTAGCACGAAAGGCCCCGGGGGGGGCGGCGGGGGGCGGGGGGGGCGGCCGGGGCCGGGGGGACGGTGGCTCCGGGCCGGGGTGACAATGACAATATGCCATACTGGGGGCAAGTCGCGTCACAGACTTAGTTCAGAACGACGGGGCGCGCTGGCTTCCGGCTGTGGGGGGGGGGGAACAGGATGTCAGAGCCCCCCCATAGCTCCCTGTACCCCCATAACACCCTGGACCCCCCCAAGGGACCCAGGCATTGAGCCCCCCCTCCGCAAGCTGACCCCAAGGTCTGGGCTCATGCACACCCCCCCCCCCATTGAGGGACCCAACTTTTGGGGTCGTCACCCCCTCAACCTCCCCAAGGGACCCTGCAGCATCCCCCCCACCCTCCCCACCGCTCTGGACCATGCACCTCGGACCCCATCTTCACCCCCCAAACCCCACTGGGGCCTCCCCAAAGATGAGCTCCAGGCTGCCCCCCCCCCCCCATAGGTGCCCCCCATCCTGACCCCCCCCTTACCTTGGCGGAAGGCGTCCTGGAGCCGGCTCTGGGGGAGTTGATACAACTCAGCGAAGGGGTCGCGGGGCGACCGGGGTGGGGGGGGTCGGGGGCCGGGGGGGCCCCTGGGTGCCGGGTCCCCCCACGGCTGACGCCAGCGGCAGCGGCCAGGCCCTGGAGCAGGCGGTGCAGGACGGGGCCAGGGGGGGCGGCCGGGGGGGCGGTGGTGGGGGGACGTCTCGGGGGTGAGGAGGGAGCCGGGGTCCCCCCCCGGGCCCCCCCCGGGGCTCTCAGGACTCGGCGGCAGCTTCTCAGGTGCAGCCTCCGGCGGTTCCGGGGGGCCAAAGGCGAAGGGTGGCGCTTGCCGGGGGGTGTAGGGGGGGGTCCAGGTCTCGGTGCCCCCCCCCGGGGTCTCGGGGACCCCCAGGCCTGGTGCAAGGCGGGCGCCCACGGCCAGGCTGGGGCCAAGGCCGAGGCCGGTGCCGATGTTGGCTCCAATGGCGGCTCCGAGGCCAATGCCAGGTCCAAGAGCGGGGTCAACGCTGGCCCCAAGGCCAAGGCCGATGGAGGATCCACGAGCGGAGCCAGCGGTGGCTCCTATGGCAGCTCCAGCACCAAGTCCGACACCGGATCCAATGGCAGGTCCAATACTGGCTCCAGCACCGAGTCCAATGCCAGTGTCAACGCTGGTTCCAAGAGCAGAGTCAATGTTGGCTCCAATGTTGGCTCCAAGGCTGAGTCCAACACTGGCACCAACGTCAGGTCCAAGCCCGGAGCAGACGTTGGCTCCCAGTGCAGCTCCAACGGCAAATCCAAGGGCAGATCCAAGACCGGAGCCACCGGTGGCTCCAACGCCAGCTCCAACTGTGAGTCCAACACTGGCACCAACATCAGATCCAGGAGCGGAGCCGATGCTGGAACCAACATTGGCTCCAAGGCCAAGTCCAACGCCAGATCCAAGAGTGGAGCCAACGCCGGCACCAATGTTGGCTCCAACAGCAGCTCCAATGCCAAGTCCAACACCAGATCCAACATCTGATGCAAGAGCAGTGCCAACGTTGGCTCCAACACCAAGTCCAATGCCAATGTCAATATCGGATCCAAGAGCAGCACCGACATTGGCTCCAACACCGGCTCCAACAGCAAGTCCAACACTGGATCCAAGACCAGAGCTAACATTGGCTCCAACAGCAGCTCCAACGGCAAGGCCAACGCCAGGTCCCACACCAGATGGAAGAGTGGAGCCAACACTGGCTCCTAGAGCAGCTCCAAGTCCAAGTCCAACAGTGGATCCAAGACTGGAGCCAGCGTTGGCTCCAATATTGGCTCCAAGACCAAGTCCAACTCCAGCGCTGACTCCACCACCTACATTGGTTCCAACGCTGGCTCCGACGGTGAGTCCAACACCAGCACCGACATCAGATGGAAGAGCAGGGCCAAGAGCCCCAATGCCAAGCCCAACGCTGGCTCTGACACCACCACCAAGGCCAGGCCCGATGTTGGCCCCGACACTGAGCGCAACACCGGCTCCAAGACTGGAGCCAACGCCAGCTCCACCATTGGCTTGGAGACCAGCTCCAACATCATCTCCGGCTCCAGCTCCGAGAGCAGCTCCAATATCTGCCCCAAGGTGGAGCCAACATCGGGGCTGGGGCCGGCTGCCACGCCGAGGCCAACGTCGACTCTGATGCCGGCTCCGACGCCGATGCCAACTCCAGCACCGACATCAGAGCCAAGAGCTTGTCCAATGCTGTCTCTGAGGCCGTGTCCAACATTCACTCCGACACCAGCTCCAAGACCGGGGTCAATGTTGGCTCCAACATTGCCTCCAAGACCATGTCCAATGGCGGCTCCAAGACCAGGTCCCATGTTGGCATCGAGACCAGGTCCAACACCAGCTCCAAGACCAGGGTCAACGTTGGCTCCCAAGCCAGCTCCAAGGCCATGTCCAACATCAGCTCCAAGGCCACATCCAACATTGACGCCAAGGCCGAGGCTGACGCCAACGTTAACTCCAACGTCGTCTCCAAGCCCAGCTCCAACACCGAGGTCAACACCGGATCCAACACCAGCACCAACACCGAGGCCAACACCGGGGCCAGCGCCGACACCAAGGTCCCCACCAGCTCCAATGCTGGCCCCAGGGAACTCAAGGCTGGGGCCAAAGGGCTCAGGAGGGTCCGGGGGGCCTCAGCTGCCAACTGCTGCCGCAGGCACCAGGCTTCAGCCTCACTGTGGGAGACACAGGGGGGGTCTGGGGTGAACCTGGGGCCCCCAGGGGAATGGAGGGTGCCCAGCCCCATGGGTGCTCTGTGGGGTGGGGGGTGATGGGACCCCTGGAGCTGGGACCACTCACCTGATGATGAAGTTGTGGGCGAGCAGAGCCGGGCCCTCGGGACGCAGCCGGACATAGACCCACGTCCAGCCCAGGCCATCCTTGCGCTGCAGCCGTGTCACCAGCTCCCCCCGTGCCTCTGGCCCTGCTCCTGCTGTGGGGACACGCACAGGGACATCAGCGGGGACACGGGGACGGGGTTGGGGACATCAATGAGGTGGATTCAGGGGGTTGGGGACATGGGGATGTCAATGGGGACAGGGGACAACAGGGACATGGGGGCCACCCGGAGAGGAGGCAAGGTGGCCCCAGGGGATGTGGAGACACCAAGGACATGATGGGGGGCAAAGTGACAGCAGGGGACTCAGGAGACACCCAAGATGATGGGTGACACCCTTGGGGACATTGGGACCCAGGGGACACCCAGGGTGATGGGTGACACCCTTGGGGGACATTGGGACCCAGGGGACACCCAGGGTGATGGGTGATACCCTTGGGGACATTGGGACCCAGGGGACACCCAAGGTGATGGGTGACACCCTTGGGGACATTGGGACCCAGGAACACCCAGGGTGATGGGTGATACCCTTGGGGACATTGGGACCCAGGGAACACCCAGGGTGATGGGTGATACCCTTGGGGACATTGGGACCCAGGGGACACCCAGGGTGATGGGTGACACCCTTGGGGACACCCATGGGACAGGAAGGCCCCAGAAACCCAAGGAACAGCTTAAAGGGGGGACAGGGCAAGCCCAAGGGACACCAAGGGGACACTTACCCAGGCGGAGGTGCTGGCGCGCAACATGGCCGAGGTCCTCGGGGTGCAGGAGCCGGTACCAGGAGCGACCCAGGAGCTCCCCACGCCCATAGCCCAGGTGGATCAGGACACTGTGGGACAAGAGGCCTGGGTCCAGTGCCCGCCATGGCTGGGACCCTCCCAGGACACCCGGATCCCCCTTTGGGGGTCAGGTCCTGACCTGTCGGAGACATCGAGCAGCGCGAGGTCGCGAGCGTGGCGGCTCTGGAACGCCGGCAGCAGGAGGCAGTCGGGGCAGGGCCAGGGCGGGGGGTCCAGGGGGGCGCAGAAGGCGACAAAGAGCCCTGGGGAGGAGCCGGGGGGGCCGGGGGGGGCCTGGAAGCGGCCCCGCAGCAGCACCAGCTTCCGTCCGGCGCTGGGGCGGCGCGAGGCCCGCGAGGTGGTGAAGCGGCAGCGGAAGAGGCGCTCTAGGGAAAAGGGGTCCTGGGTTAGACCTCCGGAGCTCTGCACGTCCCTCCATGCATCCTCCACCCCGCTGTTCATCACTCATCCATCCCTCCATCCATCCCTCATCCGTTCATCATCCAGCATCCAGCATCCCTCCATCCATCATCCAGCACCCATCCCTCCATCATCCATGCATCCATCCCTCCCTCCATCCATCCATCCCTCCATCATCCATCATCCCTCCATCCAACCCTCCATCATGCATCCCTCCATCCATCCCTCCCTCCATCCATCCCTCCATCACCCATTCATCATCCCTCCCTCCCTCCATCCATCCATCCTTCTCTCCTCTCTTCCATCCCTCCCTCTCTTCATCCATTCTCCATTCCTTCCTTCCTCCCTCCATTTCTTCATCCTTCCATCCATCTCTCTGTCCCCCTGCCCTTCCACCCTCCCATCCTTTCCTCTCTTCTTTCACCCTTCCTTCCCTTCTTCCCTCCCTCCATCCTTCCACCCCTCCCTCCCTGTGCCCACACCCACTCAGGCCCCTCCTCCAAGCTCCTCCCCCCTCGGAGGCCCCACCCACCTGCCTGGGGGGGCCCAGCCTGGGTGAGCTGATGTCGCACCAGGGGGTGATCGGCCGGGTCCAACAGGTCGTAGATGCTGTCACCCTGAGCCACCAGGTCCACCTGCAGGGGGAGTGGGAGCGTAAGCACCCAGCAGCAAGCACCCAGCACCCAGCACCCAGCACCAGGCACCCAACACCCAGACCCGTTCTGCCTGCGGGTGCTCACCATTGAGTGCCCCAGGTGCTGTGCGACGTTGTCGGTGACACCAACCAGCTTCCCCTCGCGGGTGACAGCCAACAGGAACCCGGGCAGTGATGCCACCAGGTCAGCCAGCTCCGGCCCCCCCAGCAGCTCCATGGGTGCCCCCCGTGTCGGTCCTGCAAAGGGGATGCCCGTCAGCACCCACCCAGCACCCAGCGCCTTGCCCGCACGGTCCCACTGCACCCATGTGGCCCCCATGGAGTTACCGGTGGCACCCACAGCCTTGCCTATGTAGAGCCATGGGATTCCCTGTCCCCATCACTCGTCCCTGTCGCCATCCTTTGTCCCTGTCCCTGCCTCAAGACCCAGCTCTGGTCCCTAATCCTGGCCCTTGTCCCGGTTCCTGACCCAGTTCCAGACCTGGTCCCTGTCCTGATCCCTCCTGTTCCAATCCCTGATCCCGGTTCTGGTCCCAGCTCCATCACACCCTGCTCCCTGGCTGCTGTCCCCGCGCTGATCCCGGGTCCCGATCCCGATCTCGGTCCCTATCCCGGTCCCCCAGTCCCAGTCCTGATCCCCAGTATCAGTCCCTGTCCTGGTCTCCCGGTCCCTGTCCCAGCCCTGATCCCAGGTTCCAGTTCCCAGTCTCGGTCCCTATCCCGGTGCCCCGATCCCAGTCCCGATCCTCGATCCCTGGTTCCGGTATCTCTCCGTGTCCCGGTGTCCCCGTCCCTGCTCCCGGTCTCGGTCCCAGCCCCGATCTCGATCTCGATCCCGCCGCCCCGTTCCCCGCCGCTGTCCGCGGTGCTGAACGCAGCCCCCGCCCGCTGCCGCTGTCCGCGGTGCTGAACGCACCCGGCGCTATCCGCGGTGCTGAACCCCCCCAGCCTGCTCCGGTCCCCCGTTATCCCGGTGCTCCCCGGTCCCCGTCCCACCCCACGCTGGTGCCTGCTCCTCTCCCCGCTCCTGTCCCCATCCCTCCGCCGTCTCCATGCTCCAGCCCGGTGCTGGGTCCCTGTTCCCGGTGCCACTGCTGGCTCCTAGCCCCACCTCCAGCCTGGTCCTCACCCGGCTCCATCCCCAGAGCAGTTTCCAGTCCCCTTCCTAATGCCGGCTCCCATCCCGTGCTGCTCCCCACTCCTATCTGTGTTCCAATGCCCAGTCCCATCCCAGTGCTGTTTCCCTGTTCTGTGCCTATGTCTGCTTCCATCCCGGTGCTCATTCCCATCCCCGTGCCAGACCCCGGTCCTATCCTGATGCCTGATCCTATCCCGGTGCCCAGTCCCTTCCCAGTGCCCGATGCCATCCCGGTGCCCGATCCCATCCCGGTGCCCGATGCCTTCCCAGTGCCCGATCCCATCCCGGTGCCATCCCAGTGCTCGATCCCATCCCGGTGCCCGATCCCATCCCGGTGCCCGATGCCATCCCGGTGCCATCCCAGTGCTCGATCCCATCCCGGTGCCCGATCCCATCCCGGTGCCCGCTCCCTTCCCGTTCCCTGCTCCCTTCCCGGTGCCATCCCCATCCCGATCCCCTCTCCCCGTGCCCATCCCAGCCCTACCTCTCCCTCCCTCCGCTCTCCCCGCGCACGCACCGGGGCCGGAGGCAGGCTCCCTTGCGGGTGTAGATGCAGGCGAGGGCCATGACGTGCAGGTAGGAGAGGCGCGGGCGGTCGCCGTCGGGCAGCGGCAGGAGGTCCCGCAGGGCGCGGATCTCGGCGTTGATCTGGTCCCGCCGCGCCTTGGAGGCGCCTTTGGTGGAGCGGAGCATCCTCGCGCCGCGCCGCCGCGCGAACGCCCCTTATATGGACCTCGCGGGACGACGTCACCGCCGCGTCACCCCCAACACCCCCCCCCCCCCCCCCCCCCCGTCCTTTCCCCGCTCCTCCCATTCGCAACGTTGTGGGGGGGGGGGGGGGAGGCGGCAGCGTCAGTGCTGACGTCCGACGCGCGCGCGGCGCGGGGCGCGGGGGGGGTGAAGGGGGAGGGGGGCGGCGCGCGGCGGCTTCGCACCGAAATAGGAGATGGCGCGCGCTGAGGGGCGGGGCGAGGGGAGGGGAGGGGCGCGGGAAACGCCCCCCCCCCGGGGGGAACGGTGCAAGGGGGGAATGGGGGGGGGGAGTCAAGGGAAGGTAGAAAGGGGGCAATGGGGAGGGGGGGATGAAGGGAAGGGAGGGTTGGATGGGGGGGGTCAATGGAAGGGTGGGGGAGCCAATGGGGGATCAATGGGGGGAAGGAGGGATGGGTGGAGGGGTCAATGGGGAGACTGGGGGGCAATAAGGGGTTGGAAGGGCTCAAGGGAGAGAGGGAGGGAGCGATGGAGTCAATGGGGGAGGGAGAGAGTTGACAGTGGGATGGGTGGTCAACAGGAGAATGGAGGGTCAATGGGAGAGGGAGATGGTCAATGAGGGGATGGAGATGGTCAATGAGGGGATGGAGATGGTCAATGGGGGGATGGAGATGGTCAATAAGGGGATGAAGATGGTCAATGGGGGGATGGACATGGTCAATGGGGATGGAGGTGGTCAATGTGAGGGTCAACAGGGGGATGGAGGGTCAATTGGGGATGAAGATGGTCAATGGGGGATAGAGATGGTCAATGGGGGAGGGAGATGGTCAATGGGGAGGGAGATGGTCAATGGGAGGGCGAACAGGACAATGGAGGGTCAACGGGGAGATGAAGAGGGTCAACGGGGTGATGAAGAGGGTCAAAAGGGGATGAAGATGATCAATGGGGGGATGGAGGTGGTCAGTGGGGGATGGGTTATCAACGGGGTATGGAGAAAGTCAACAGGAGGCTGGAGAGGGTCAGCGGGGGGATGGAGAACCCAGTACGGGGAGGGAGAGGGTCAAATGATGGAGTCGTTGATGGAGGGTCCACAGGGGAGTCAAGGGAGGGGCCTCTGTGGGGCTGGAAGGGCTCAAAGGGTGGAGGGAGAGTCAATGGGGGGCAGAGGAGGTCAAGGGGGGGGCAGAGGGGGGCAATGGGGGGAAGGGGAACAGGGGCTGGACAGACAGCTCAATGGTGGGTCAGGGGAGGAGGGATGAGAGGATGGGTGATGGGAGGGGTGGGGAGGCAGTGGGAGCTCAATGGGGCTCAATGGGGGTCAATGGGAGCTCAGTGGGGCTCAGTGGGGCTCAATGGGATCAACGGGGGCTCAACAAGGCTCACCAGGATCAATGGGGACTCAATGGGGCTCAACGGGGGTCAATGGGAGATCAACGGGGCTCAACGGAGCTCCGTGGGGCTCAATGGGAGCTCAAGGGGGCTCAGTGGGATAAATCCGGACTCAATGGGGCTCAGCAGGTCTCAGTGGGGCTCCGTGGGGCTCAATGGAGGTCCGTGGGGCTCAATGGAGGTCCATGGGGCTCAATGGGAGATCAATGGGGCTCAACAGGGCTCGGCAGGGCTCAATGGGGGTCCATGGGAACTCAAGGGGGGTCAGTGGGATCAATGGGGACTCAATGGGGCTCAACAGGGCTCAATGGGGGTCAATGAGAGCTCCACGGGAGCTCAATGGGATCAATGGGGACTCAGCGGGGCTCAATGGGGGGGGGTGCGTAGAAGCATCACTGGGGTGACGGGGGTGGGGGGAGCTTTGGGCCGCGTATCAGTGGGGCCGGAGGGCCCCCAGCACCCAAGGGGGGGGCTCCAGGGTTACCGCCCCCCCCCCCATCCCCTCCCCCCGCCCTCCGGGATCCCCCCTGTCCCCCCCTCCCCCCGCTCCGCGGCTCCCCCCCCCCCCCCCCATCGCTGGCTCCGCCCCCGCCGCGGTTCCCCTCCCCCCCCCCCTCCGGGCTCCGCCGCTGCCAAATTTGGGCGCTGAAGCCGCTGCGCTAAAAATAGGCGCCGGCGGCTAAAAATAGCGAGGGGGCGGGGCGGGGGGGGCGGGGGGAGGGAGCGGAGCCCGGGGATCCCTGCGGGGGGAGGGGGGGGAGCGGGCACAGGGGATCCCCCGCGGGAGAAGGGGGGGAGGGGGGGGGGGGTCTGGCCGCAGCCCCCCCCCCCCCCCCCCCTCCCCAAATCCCGGACCCCGGCCGCCGGTTTCCGTGGTAACGGAGGGGGGGGGGGGGGGGGGGGGGGGGGGGGATGGAAACGGGGGGATGCGGGAGGATGAAGGGGAGAGGGGGGATGAAGATGGGTGAGGATGAGGAGGGAGGAAAGGATGGAGATGATGATGATGATGATGAAGGGGGGCTGAAGAAGAGGAGGGAGGATGAAGATGGAGAGGATTGGGGATGAAAATGAGGATGAAGATGGAGGAGAGGGTGGAGATGGGGGGGGTGAAGATGAGGAGGAAGATGAAGGAGGATGAAGCTGTAAGAGGAGGGATGGGGCTGAGGATGAGGAGGGAGAGAGGAAGATGAAGATGGGATGAAGGAGGATGGGGAAGGGGGGATGAAGATGGATGAGGATGAGGAGGGAGAAAGGATGAAGATGATGAAGATGAAAGGGGGTGAAGATGGAGAGGATTGGGGGTGAAAATGAGGATGAAGATGGAGGAGGATGAAGGTGAAGGGGGGTGAAGATGAGGATGAAGGTGGAGGATGAAGGTGAAGGGGGGTGAAGATGAGGATGAAGGTGGAGGATGAAGCTGTAAATGGAAGGATGGGACTGAGGATGAGGAGGGACAGAGGAAGATGAAGATGGGGTGAAAGAGGATGAGGAGGAAGGGGGGATGAGGATGAAGAGGGAGAAAAGAGGATGAAGATGATGGGGAGTGAAGATGAGGATGAAGATGAAGGAGGTTGAAGCTGTAAATAGAAGGTTGGGACTGAGGATGACGAGGGGCAGAGGAAGATGAAGATGGGGTGAAGGAAGGGGGGGATGAGGAGGGATGAAGAGGAAGAGGATGGGGAGGAAGGAGGGCGAAGATGGAGGAGGATGGGGAGAGGAGGAGGATGGAGAAGGGGGGGGTGAGGATGAGGAGGGATGAAGGGATATGAGGTGGGGATGAAGGAGAGCAGGATGAGGAGGGACAACAAGATGAAGATAAGGGAGGGAAAAGATGGGAAAGGGGGGGTGAGGATGAGGAGGGATGAAGGACAGTGAAGATGAAGGAGGAGAGGGGGCTGGGGAAGTATGAGGATGAAGATGGGGAAGAAGGGCGGGTGAAGATGGAGGAGGATGAGGATGGTGGATGAAGGGGCTGAAGATGAAGATGCCACATCCTCCCCCCCAAAAGGGACCCTCTTCATCCTCTCCCCAAGGGACCCTCCTCATCCTCCCGCCCCATAGGGACCCTCCTCATCCTCCCCCCACAAAAGGACCCTCCTCATCCTCCCCCCTCCCATAGGAACCCTCCTCATCCTCCCCCCCTCAAAGGGACCCTCCTCATCCTCCCCCACAAAAGGAACCCTCCTCATCCTCCCCTCCCCCCAAAGGGACCCTCCTCATCCTCCTCCCCCCAAAGGGACCCTCCTCATCCTCCCCCCCCCTCAAAGGGACCCCCCCCATCCTTCCCCCCTCCCAAAGGGACCCTCCTCATCCTCCCCCTCCCATAGGGACCCTCCTCATCCTCCCCCCCAAAAGGGACCCTCCTCATCCTCCCCCCCCCCCCAAAAGGGACCCTCCTCATCCTCCCCCCCCCCCCAAAGGACCCCTCCCATAAAAGAGACCCAAAATCAGATGAACAAACGTTTATTGGGGGAACCCCGACCCTGGGGGGGGGGGGGGGGGTGTCAGAGGTGGGGGGGTGGTGTCGGGGGGGGGTCACTTCTTCTTTGCTCCCTCCTCCTCCTCCTGGGCCGCGGCCGCTCCTGCTCCCGCCGCTGGCGCTGGAACTCAGCGCATTCCTCAGCCGTCAGCCATCTGGGGGGGGGCAATGGGGGGGGGGTAATGGGGGGGAGGGGGGCACCCCCAAACCCAGCTCTCTTCCCCCCACTGAGGGACCAGGGCACCCAGTTATTGGGGGGAAGGATGGTTTGTAGGGGGGGGGGGGGGAGGACATCCCAGGGCTGCTGGGGGGGGGGTGGATGGGGTCACCCCAATGTTTGTGAAGGTGGGGAGGGACCCAGTGTTTGGGGAGGGGTTGGGTGGGGGGCACCCAGTGATGTGGGGGGGGTTGTTGGGGAGTGGGGGCATCTCAATGGTTGGATGGGGGGGCAACTTGTTCCTGGGGATGAGGCTCTTTGGGGGAGCGGTTGTTGTTGGGGTGACTCTAGGGGAGCAGTTGGGGGTGCTGTTGTTTGGGGGGCTGTTGGGGGGTCTATTGCTGGAGGGGTTGTTGTTGCAGGGACTGATGGGGGTGATATTGGGGGGGTGATGGGTGTGATGTTGGGGGCAAACTGTTGGCAGGGCTGTTGGGGGCATTGTTGTTTGAGGGCTATTGTTGGAGGGGTTGTTGTTGGGGTGGCTGTTGGGGTGATTACTGTAGGGTGTTGTTTAGGGGTGTTGCTGGGATGTGTTGGGGTTGTTGCTGTTGGGGTGACTGCTGTGGGTGGCTATTGGGGGGTGTTGCTGAGGTGGCTGTTGGGGGTGGTTATTGGGAGTTGCTGGGGGGGTGTTGTTGAGGGATTGCTGTTGTTGGGGGTAGTTATTGGGGGGTGTTGCTGCTGTTGGGGGTGACCGCTGGGGGCTGGCTTTTGGGGGTTGGTGCTGTTAGGGGGTTGTTGTTGGGGGGGTGGTTGTGAGGTGTTGTTGGGGGTAGTTAGCAGAGATGGCTGTTGTTGGGGGAGTGGTTGTTGGGGGGCTGCTGTTGTTGGGGCATGGTTGTTAGGGGTTGTTGTTGGGGGTGGTTGTTGTGGGGAGGACTAATTGTTGGGGGGTTGCCGGGGGGTGGCTTTTGGGGGGGTGGTTG